TTTTGATGTGTGAATTGTACATTATACTCCCATGAATCACAGCAAGAAAGTTCTGGGTTCAACTCCCGGGCTGCATGGGCCCAAGTTTGCATCAGTGCCAGCTCTAAGCTAGTCAAAGGTGGGCATTGTCCATCCTAATGAAATTGTTGCCCACTCAGTCAAACCTACTACCCAATACGAATACATATATACTTCTATATTTCCCACCTAAACTGCAGCCTGCACGCCCCAAGTTCAGCAGCATAGACCCGGGCCTGGTTTGCATGTTTCTCAATGGGTGGGTTTCCTCCGTGCACTGTGGTTGCTTCCATCCTTCAGTTCTGGCCAAAAAAAAAAAAAAAGAAAACATAAGAAAAAGAAGGAAAGAAGAAGACGACATTTTGGCAAAACTGTAGTGTCCAAAGCAGCATCGAATTCACAGTCACCCATAGATTTCTATATCTATATTCACAGCACAGATACAGTCACGGTGTTCCTCACTGTTTCTCCCCTTCCTCCCTCTCCTTGTCACCTTTCCCCATCCTCCTCTTCCTCCCCTTCCTCCTCTTCTTCTATTCCTCCCTTCCCTCCTCTTCTTCGCCATGCTCCCCTTCCTCCTCTTCCTCCTCTTCCTTCCCTTACTCCCCGTTAAGTCCTGATCACATCCACTATCATTAAACAAGCCCCCCTCTGCTCCTGCTCAGAGTAGAACAGTGGCTCTAACTGTGCTTTTGTGATTTTACTCTTTACACTTCAGATCTAATCAAAAACAACCCTGAGGCAAAGAACAAGAGAGGCATCCTCAAACTGAAACATCAGAAAACTTACACACAGAGAGAGTGGGTATGCATCACCAGACACAAGTGCAGTTATTGTTGTGCATGCTGTGATCAAATAAAGAGGAGTTTTATTGAAACACACTTTAACTTCTTGTTATTGAGGTAGCAGTAACCTAACTTTTTAAATTGAAATGGGGATAGCCTGTTCTTGAGTTTCCTGCTGTGTAAAATTCAACCATTATCTGATTTCTTTCTGATTGTCCACATGTGCAGGTTTTGAACAATATGCAAAAAAGGGGAAAATGATGTGGCAAAGACAAAAGTGAAAGAGAAAATGATCATGTTTGATTATCTGTTATTCTAGTTCAGATTTTAAATAACTACGTAAGAGTACCTAATGTAATCACAGGCTGGAGTTGTGATTTGTTTCATTCACACATGTTTGAGTAATCCTGGCTTTTCACTCTCCAAAGTAAAAAATGCTCTGTTTCACCTTGTGATGTCATGCAGTGTTAGTTTCAACATTAACAGCTACCTTTTACCTTTTGTTCTGTAGAGATTGGCAATTCCAGGTCTGAAAGAATCCAAATGATTTTAGTCCAGCGTATGGAGTTTAAAAACACAGCACTTCCTGTATTATCACATGATGTTTTCAGTTTGAAAGCACTCAGGCTAAATATGCTGGGTTTGTGTGTTAAAAAAACATTATTTGATGAGAAAAAACATTATAACATAGATCAGAAATTAGCATAATACATGATCTTTAAATTATTGTTTCCCAAAGACTGGATCACAACCCTCAGGTGGGTCACAAGAGATTTCTTTTGGGTCTCCTTGTCACGATCTGCATGTAGTTTTGCAATACACAGTTCTACAGACTATTTTCTTCCAATATTGCTGGTTCAATTGAATGTTGAAAAGCAAAAAAATGGGCTACATTTAATGTCCGAATAGGCAACTTATGGATCCTATTACTGCTGGTTCAATGACTGTTTTTCATTGTTTAAAACTTGAGTAATACTAATTGTTCAGACAGACACGATCACTCAGTTAACAATAAAATATCCTCATTAATGTTCAACACTCCACCTTTATTTTGTGGTTTACAAATAATGTCTATTGACTTGGGTCGTAAAGGTTTGTGACTTTTAAAATATGGATCCCCAGAAAAAAAAAAAAGTTTGAGAAACACTGCTTTAAATTATCCAATTACATTACAACTTTTCATAGTAATTTATATTTCTTTAATTTGATGTTTTACTTTTATAATAACACTACAGTTTGGTCTATTTTTCCATTTCAGTTTTGCCCTAATAGTAGCTGTAAAATGAGAAAGTTTCTTATTACAACATTACAAGCCCCAATACTGTAGCCTACATATCAAATGACCTGTGTTTTCTCTTGTCCGTGTAGAGAAGCAGCAGGAACATTTATCTGAAACTCCATTGGATCGTCTAATTCTGTGACAAATTCCTTGATTGAAGTTCTGATATGTTTTGGAGGGATTACAGCGATTGCTTCTTCACGGCAGCTCTGTGTGACATGACAGGCCCCAAAGCCACATCCACCAGCACATAATCCTCTGATGTGATGTGATGTGAGCTATTTGCAGCACAAACCCAGGTATTAAGGTGGCTATAAAAATCTCCAACATAAAGGCAAAGTACGCATCCCCAGACATTTGTTTAAACCTCTGCCGAAAATGTGCTAAAGGATTTTATGGAGGCAATGAAAGAGAAGGTGTAATAATGTACTGCAAGAAAGCAAAAAGCACTGTTTGAGACAAAGGTATTAACACAAAGCTTGAGTCAAATGCCAAGATGTTTTAATTAAAGGTGCATTATGTAACTTTTCTGGTGGGAGTTCAGGCGCCTGATTGTTTCCTGAAGAGGTTATTGCTTAGACTGAAAAGGAATAACTGGAATGTTCCACAGCATTAAATGTATTCATCTTTTGTTCAATTACAGGTGATTTTATTTTAAAGGAAGACCTTGCAAAATGCATTCTTACCATAGACATTGTAAAGATGTGGACTAAGGAAGTGTGACGTCACCCATTGCGTTTGGCTCCAGTCAAATGAGTTTCACAATGCTATTAGTTATTAGCCAGGCTAGTGCCACCTAGTGTCTCCGCTCAATTTCTCTCCAGCAACTAGGTCAGGAATCAAAATACAATAGATGGTTCGCAAAAACCCTGGAAATGCAAGTTTGTACACCAGCCAATCAGCGAAGAGTGATATATTCAGTGTTGTCAACAATTCCTGAGATCGAGAATTTAAAGTCCAAATAAAGAGAATGTTCGGTGAATTTTATCAAGAGAAAAGACGTTACTGCCCTTCTTCCTACGGAATTTGGAAAAAGCTTAATATACCAGTTAGTCCCGTTAGTGGCGCATTACATATGTGACTACCAAATAGCAGTGATTGGTTAAATAAAAAAGTACCTGTCTACTGTCAAGCGAACGAATTCTAATGCTGCGAGGTCAGACGGTTTCCATGAAGTGAAACTGGCGGATGAATCAGGCTAAACAGTTATAGGAGCAAAGGACGAATAGGAATTTATTTACGGACAAAACAGCATACTAATAACACCAGCATCAAGTAGAGTGGGTTAATATGCACATTTTAAGACCAGAATGATAAAACTCATTGCAGCAGTTACAGAGAGAGGAGTGACAATTTTTCAATGTGAAGTCACTTGGAACAAGTGTCGATGGAGCAGGAAGCACCTCCATGCTCACTTCCTACTTGGAACGTGGCGGTTAGCAGGTTATAGCTGTTCCCATTTACATATACAGTCTATGATTCTCACCGAGTGGGTCCCCTCTCCACAGATCTGACCATTAACTTCACCCACTTGTATTATATCATCATCAAGGAATTTATATTTTTATATGCATTGACACAATACATACAATAATTTCAGTTAAAATACCCCCAATTTATTTTTCATTATTTGCTTCTATATATTGACTATGCACCATTTTAACAGTCAGGTATGCACCAAGTGTACGTTCAGTCAAATCTACTACATATTATGGGCCGTTTGAAGTCATTGCAGCAGAAATTGCATTGTTTTGTTTGTCAAATGAAGAAAAAAAAAACAAAAAGGTAATAGTGTTTTGTATTATGGATGCGATAAAGCAGGAACACAGCACAAAGTAATAACTGTCAGTGGGAGGGATTACTATCTTCCTCCATAAGCCTCGGGATAGGGCCAGACACTGCTGCTGTTTATTCTGCTAGATTTTCTCAAAGTAAATCAATGCTACAAAAATGGCATTTGAAAACGGCCTCTGACAACGAAGAAATGAAAATAACAAATAGGATCAATAAAGAAAATAATTTATTAAAAAGCTTGTAGATGTTGATACATTGATAAATTGCTTCAGTCAAGACACCGCTGTGAAAGGTACAAGGCTAAGGAGAGAGGACACGCCATCTACTGGTGACGTCAATTACAGCATTAGGTTCAAGGAGATCATGTATGCACTTTTGGGTTTGAAGAAGCAGACAGGAGAAGCCAAAATGCATACTTTTGCTGTTTATTTTTCCAACTATATTCATTTGAAAATTTTGATTAGTTGAGCTTTTAAATATATTTATACAGTATTTTAAAAGGTCCTATATTATACAACATTAACTCATGAAAGCCATATTATAATGCTGCTAAAAACCTGCTCAAAAACATACCTGGAGTTGTGTTTTCATTCATTCACACGTTTGAGTCATCCTTTATTAGTCTGTCTACCTCTCCAAAGCTCAAAATGGTTTATTCCACCTTGTGATGTCATTTTGTGGTAGGTTTCAAGTTAGCAGCTACCCATTTTATTTTTGTTCAGTAGAGATTGGCAATTCTAGGGCTGAAATTACTCATATGATTCTAGTGAAGGTGCATAATAAAAACACAGTGGAGCACTTCCTGTATTACCACACGACATCACAAGGTTGAACAAAGTGTTTTCTGTTTGAGAGAAGAACTCAGCCTGAATATGCAGAGTTTGTGAGTTAAACGTGTGATTGAAACAAAACACAACTCTGGGTATGTTTGTAATGAGGAAACAACTTTATAACATAGCCCTTTAAAATAAAAAATAAAAATAAAACTTATATAGATATCTTAAAGCAGCATGTTGTAAAGATAGAATAGGCCTGTTGGATGTACAGTGTTAATAGGGATAACTTAAGTACACCACCACCACAGTTTCACACAATGGCATTAATAAAAGAATAAAAAAAGCCAGTCAAGTAAAGACATTTATTTTCATTTTGCTATGGCCTCATGAGTGGCCTTACATAACAAAACACCTGCCATTACTCCTGTCTGTCTGTTCAGAAGATTTTTATAGATTCTGGTGACACATTATTAGACCCTGCTATCTTGACATTTTGTAAGATTTATGGAGTCAATTTTTACCCACATATTTATTTTTGCACAGTCCAACATAAGCAAAGGCAGTTCAGTCCCTGCCTCGATCCTGTTGGCTCAGTCCTGGTGTGGTGGGCTCAGGCTGACCCTCTGTAGTCCTCCTCTGTCATCTTGTTTTGTCCTCTTCCTCAGTCCTCTGCAGTCTTTTATATTGTCAGAGCTCAGGTTTCCTTTTCAGGCTTGCTCTGACGACTGCGCTGCTGCTCCTGGTACTCCCGTGAGTCCTCCCAAGGACGAGGACCACGGATGTTCTTCCACTCATCCAGATTCACCTGCTGCAACTTCTACACATCACACCACAGACAAGCCACATACTGCTGTTACCCTCCAGGTTATTCAGGTCAGAAATAAGTATCGGTAGTTTGCTAGGGGGTGCTTTCAAAAGAAGCTTAATCATGAAAACCTAAACTTAAGAATCTGATATGAGTCACCACAATGAAAGTACATATTTTTCTTTTCTTTCCTAAAAATACAAACAGCTGTTCAAGATATGCTGTAACTATTATGTATTCATTAAAGATCCTAGCTTGAGCTCTTGTGTTTTCATTCACACACCTTTAAGAAACCCTTTTTTATTAGTTTGTCTACATCTCCAGGAGTTCAGTAGAAATTGGCAATTCCAGAGCTGAAATTATCCAAGTGATTCTAGTGAAGATTTATGGAGTTTAAAAATATAATGGAGCACTTCCTGTGTGACCCACATCAGAATGGGGGAACAGGTTGTTTTCTGTTTATTTGGCTGTTTTTTCTCTTAAACTTTAAGAGAAAAAATTGCCAAATATGCAGGGAACTTATGTGTTAAACGTGTGAATGAAAAAAACAAAACTCCAGGTATATTTTTGATGTAGAGACAACATTATAAATAGTGTAATATGGGCTCTTTACATAACTATGGAACATCATTGTATTATCAAATGTCTAAACATCATGATGCTTTTTGGACCAACAACAGTGAGTCATTATATAGCTCAATTACATGCAAGTAGTTAAAAAACAAATTACTCTTCCAAATGAATCTGTCACCCTGAGTCTATATATGTTTAAGATACATTTTTTGCCTTAAATGCTGAGAGTTCACGCAATAGTTCATTCAAGTTTAGACTGAACAGATGTTTAGGGAATGTGGGGGATGTAAGACAAGTGTTTTTTTAAAGAGTAATGCGTTCTTCAAATGACGCTAAATTAACTCATGTTCAGCGATTGCAGCAAAGTGCAGCTGGTGCTCTCATACAGATTACATCTTCCCGATTGCAAATAAAATGAATCTTGTGACCTGTTAAATGAGTCTTTTAACTGATTTTTATGGTGTATAATTTTTGGGTGGTTGTAAAAAAAAAACAAAAAAAAACAGGAAAACACTGAGTATTTATTTATGCAGCAATAGTAGCTAAGTGACCATAACTGTTAAATCCTTAAATATATTTTTCAGTTAATATGTTGTTTTTGACACATTAACGATAAATATTTATGAGATGTGAGGTATTTATATTTACACAGCGTTACATGAGTCATTACTGTTATTTAACGCTTTAGGAAATATCACACATACACTGCACAACTGAGCTTATCCCCCCAATCAGATCACACCTCAATTCTGTTTCTGTACTACATGGCATAAGAATATGGTTGTTTTCTGTGTATGAAACACATCAAATGCCAAGAATGTAAATAAATACTTGAGCATTTGTCAGCTGTAAATAAAACTAACTGTTTTGTTATATATATGCACACAAGACACTGCTCTCACATCCCGTTCACGCCTTCACACTACCATAGCTGTGAAAAGGACTTTACATTGCTACAGTAAAAAATCACATTAACATCTTAGTTACTGCTACTAATATCTAGCTCACATAGGGCTGCAAGATTAATCACAGTCAAAACAAAATAGCAATTTGAACGAACACAATAAGCCAATCGCAAAAGTTATATTTTTTAAGTACTATAATTTCCTCCAACTACATATCCAGTCTTATACTGCAGAAAAACTGCTAACCCTGTAGCTGAGATCTATACAAGCATGTTCTGAAATGTAATTCTTGTATTACTTTGTCAGTTCTTGTTTGTCTTTTTGACAATTATTTTGAATGTGTTTAAAATGTGAACTTTGAACAGAATCAGATTATTGAAACACCTCACACTTGTAGAAGTTGCTGTCACAAGCACACATCTTCACGTGTTTAGATTAATGCTCTAATGTAGTAAGATTGTTACAGACAATGGCAATAATTTTGAGTCTCTTGTTTGTACATCTAATAAGTACACATCTTTTGAACTACTACATTTAAACTACACTCCTCACCTCATACTCCTCCTCCAGTATGGTGGCCTGTCTCTTGACGTTCACCTGAGCCTCAAGTTCAGGATCCAACTGTGACAGAACAGAAGCAACTTAACAAAGCAACTCCACGAAATTTCAAATATTATCAACCGTAAATATCAAAGCAGACACAGTGGGAAACAGAAATAAAAACAGACATGTTCAGAATACACAATAAGAGCTTCAAGTCATTATAGTTTTACCTTTGAAGTGTTTCAAAAATGTTCTTTAATGAATAAATAATGATGAGCTCAAGTCTGGCCCCTAAACTCAAAATCACTCACATACTTTTCAGCAAAAAGAAGAAATATTTTTCTATTCTATTTTCTTTTCACTTTGATATGAAAATAAATAGTTTAGAGGGGGTTATTTCTTCAGTTCAGTTCTGGTTCAGTCCTGGTTCAGTCCTGGTTCAGTCCTGGTTCAGACCTGGCTTGCAGACTGGTCTATAATTCTGGGGAGTCCAGTGGAGCTGTGTGGCTTTTGCAATTCAAATAGATTTCACCCGAGAATAGGTCTGAAATGAATTCTATTCTGAATCATTACTTTTAATGAGTTCTAATATTTTATGGCAATATTGCTGCGGTTACTCGGGTGACTGATGACTTTCATAATGCCCTGATTGATTTTTAATTAGACCTACACTGAGACGGATATCAATTATTTATAGAAAATGTTGCAGCCTTCACCACGAGGAATTAATAGCCCGAGTAATTAGTATCTCACCTAGTTGAGAGAGGGTATTTCTGCTGCTAATTAAGAAAACTGCAGGATGAAACTGATTACAGAACAATTTTAAGTGTGTTTTGATGATAGTTTCACCATACGTATATAGTATGCATGCAAGTCCAATATCAACACAAATAACTCCACAATCCTTCATAGCCCTGATTATAGAAGTTTGTTTATGCGTCCTTATCCAACTGTAATGAAAATTAAAATATGTATGTGAACCCCTTGATGTCTCTTTTCATCTGAAACTGGTATTGGACATGCTGAAGCAATTATATCTCCACTGAGATCTCCATTTATAAATATATATGTACAGTCTATGATAATAACCCAGAGGAGCAGGAGAAGGAGGAAGTCTGGGCATCTTTGCTTATCACACCTACCCCTGTGATCAAATGAACGTCTGCGAGAGAACTGCAATAATAGTTGTGACCACTGGGGGGACCTTTTACACTCTGATGTCAAATCAGACAGGATTTTTGGATACAACTGTTAATCTACTCTTTAGAGATGTGATCTTTGAAGGAAAGTCGTTTTCATTTCACTCACCCTTTTCCTGTGCCTCTGTGCGTCATAGCGGATCTGTGTGAACTCCTTCAAGCCAAAGGAGCCTCCAACCACCAGCAACTGCACAAACATGTCAATTTATTGCTTTATAAGTTTCTGATATAGCTGCTTTGTGCAATTTAGCTACGCAGGTTTGAGCTTTGAAAAACATACACTGACAATGACGTACAGCTTCGTAAGGGCCCATGAATGAATATAATAAAACCAAAATTAAGTATATTTAAGTGACAAGTCAGTTTGCTTTTGTGTAGCATTAAATTTAATCAAAAGACCTTCTTTGTGTTAAATCTAGGGTTACCACGAGCACTACACATGATTTAGCCACCGCTTTACCAAGTTCACTTATGAAATTATTTATATTGGCAGCATTTTCTTGGCGCTTTGAGCATTGATGAATCGCTAACAAAATTAAATAAACTCACCAGCATTGGGACTCCATACTTGACGGTTTTGTTCCTTTGTAAAGCTCTTAAATTAAACATTATTCCTCTCTTATTTCCATCTCAAACCTGGCAGGTCATAGCTGAGAGGCGCTTCCTTGATATGTCCGATGACAAAACGTGTCCGGAAAAAACACGGAACAAGATTATAGTTCCGACTCGACAATTTGCGCGGTTTCCATAAACTGATTATTTGTACTATTTGCTTTTCTTCATACTTAAACTTAAGCTACATTATTATATTACTTTTTCATATAACAAGCAAGAAAATAAGGCTAAGAATATAAATGTCCAAATTTATTTATTTATTTATTTTTCATGTTAAAAAATATGTAGGCTATCCATGGATTATTAATAAAAATTTAAAAAAAAATTTTAAAAAATTGTAGTTCTATGAGGCTATCTTTTAGTATGTCTATTCCATGGATATCTACTTCTATAAACTATTCTGATTGGACACTGAAACTCCTGCTTGTTCAAATATTTAAAGTGTTGTTTAGGTTGTATGTTTTAATACACAAGCAAAATATGTCAGCTATACACTTGGATCTCATTCACCTGCATACTGGTGCCATTCTGAAGTTGTTTGACTATTCAAATGATATAGTATTCTGTACTGAACTTTTGTTGCAAACTATACCTATGGCAATGGTCCTTTTCATCATACTGAAACCACGGATACCATCTTCATATTACCAGACTATTTTGGGTACTGGATAAAAACTGATTATTGTACAAAATATTACAAACAATTTAACCACATTTCATATTCTTGAATTCTGAAGATAATTCTTTAAAAACCCCCTGCCAAGTTTTAATAAATACTATTAGTTGTCCCAAACCCACTCATCATAATAAGAACATACTTCAAACAGAAAGAGCACATAGAAAGTATATCAATTTCTCTTTATTACAATTGTCTCATATTTTCAATCAGATGAAGAAAAATACCTTTTTTCGTTCCGTATAATAAAATATGTTAACTTTATTCATTTTTTATGAAGAAAAAACAATGACGACAAGAAAATACAAACAAAAGACAAACATTTCTCGCTCCCTCTTTGTAAACTTAGAGAGCTTCTGCTGCATTGCATGACAACGGAGACAGACTGTGAGGGAGCAGTGGGCATATGGATGGGAGAGAGGGACAAAAAGATAAGGCAAAAGACATACAAAAGATGCCGGGACAGGGAGTGTGTGTATGTGTGTATGTGTGTGGGAGGGGCGTGGGTCGGCTGGATGTCCCATTTGAGGATATAGTAACAGATAGAGGGTTCAAAGGTCACTCTCTCCGTACAGAGCTGTAGAGAAGGACATGTAATCCAGAGCACCAGGTACAGCGTCGGGGCCGGTGTAAGGGGCCATGCGGGCAATGCAGTATTCGGCTTGGTCCGGAGGAAGCTCGCGACGAAGCTCATCGGCCAAAATGTAGTTCTGAATCATACACAAAATGAGAGCATAAATAAAAATGCAAGAAATATTATAGTCTATTTATTACTCATAATTTTGATATTACAGTAAGATTGGTTGTTTTTTGTTGCAAGAACTTGCGACACTAGAATTTCCTCATTGTGGGTCAAATAATGGTTCTCACGTATTATCTATAATGATTTGCAACAGGGTGAGAAAACAATCATTATTTAAATTTGGGTTACACTTTCATTCTTTGTTGTTTTACAGAAACGCTACATGACAGTGCTTCCCCATAATATGTCTAAAACTGGTTGCTTTTTGGGAACTGGTGAACAGACTTTATGGAAAATTGTGCAAATGCATAAAAAATTGTATAATTGTTTTATTATAATGAAAAAATGTGATAACAGTCTGCCATCTGGTGGTCACAAAGGGATTGTTAAACTAAAGTAATTAAAATGTAACCAATTAAAAATGAACTATTACCATACTGCACTCCAGAGAACATACTACATTCTGTGAGGGGGAAACTACTGGACTTTGAAAGGATATGGACACCTTTTTTGAACATCTTCTTGACACTTGATAGGACTAGACTGTTACCAAATGTTACCAATTAAGACAACAAAAAATGCCATCACCTTTTTTAATCCAATTGTGAAAATGTGTAAGACGTATTTCCTTAGAATTTCAGTTACAATCACAAAAGTAATAGTAAGATATATAGTAGTAATAGCTCTGTACAGTCTGTTACCTTGTCTCCAGCCAGGATCTTGAAGGAGGCCATGACCTGGTCGGCTGTGTCTGTATCTGCTGTTTCTCGGGACATGAAGTCGATAAAGGCCTGGAAGGTAACGATGCCCATGCGATTTGGGTCCACGATGCTCATGATGCGGGCAAACTCATTCTCACCCTGAACAAGAGACATAAATCTGTTAAACTATTGGATGTAATAGTAGGTTGCCACAGCGCACAGATAAGTCAAAGCACCATTTAGGTACTACCCCACAAAGCATTAGGAGATTTTAATTTTATTATGTATTTTCATGCTGTAACTGAAGTGCTACGTTTTATGTTGCTGTCATCACATCTTGTGTCCAAAACCAAACCAAATCACTATCCATAATTAAAACTTAACAAGTATGATTATGTCAAGTATTTCTTTTACTTATCAGTTCTTAAGTTCAAATTCAGTTCTCTCAAAAAGGTTAAGTTAACCTAAATTAGACAACATATCATTTTGGGATGGGTTTACATTAAGGTTTACGCTTTGCGGGGTAGTCATGCCAAGTTACAACTGGTAATTTAACAAAACAAAAGTGAACAAACAGTGACCAATATCAACTTGCATGCTCTTATATATATAACAAGTAAACATCATTACAGTGCTTTTGTTGTCATGGGTGAGTCTCAATATGAAAATACATTCTTCATGCAAAATACGTTCCTTCATGACCAGTTTCAGACAGTTCCTTACTGTATAATCTGTACACAAACACAGACAGTTTCATAGGAGCAACTTTACCAGGTTGTAACCCATGGAGATAAGGCAGGTTTTGAAGTCTTCAGCCTCCATGATGCCTGTTCTCTTCTATAGGGGAGATGTAGGCAACAAAACCAGGAGGAAAGAAAGAATAGGAAAGATCCAGATAGAAGTGGGTAAGACAAGACAATAGAGGAAAGTAAGGTTTAGGTGGGTAAAATCAGGGAAAGTTTGGAGTTATAAGTAGAAGTACAGTACAGTATTGAGTTATGGGGTAGTAACAGAATTGGAGGAAGAGTACAGAGAGGAAAAAGTACAAAAACAAAAAAGCACACGTTAACTCTTTCACCGCCGAGTGAGTCTTCTGAAAGTACCTGTGCATCGTTGCCGATATCGAAGCCCAGACTGATCAGGCAGGCCTTGAACTCCTCAGTGCCCAGAGTGCCGGTGTGGTCCTGGGGAGGCGCGGGGGGGCACATCCAGGGGGGGCCATGCAGCGGACACATACAGCGGTCAGTGACGTGGTGAGACAGACAGGTGGCAGTAGTGGGTTTGGTTGTGATGGTGGTGATGGGAGAAGGGTGCACCATGCGAGGAGGTGGGTGATGTGGGTGGGAATGGGTGGGGAAGGGAGGGAAGGGGGAATATGGGGAGGGAGAGGGATGGGGTTGTAGGTGGTGAGGAGGGAGGAAGGAGTATGGTGGGACATGCAGGGGAGACAGAGAAAAACAGTGCATTTCGGTTAGGATTACTGGCTGGTGGTTCAGGGGGCATTCAGGCGTTAAAGTGCGGAGTGCAGGCAAACTACTGGGCTGTATGTGAGTTTATTATTATCCATATCGTCAATGGCACACAGTACTTCACAACAAAGTCAAATAACTTCAATTTTCAAATACAAGTGACAGGACTATAGCAAATATGAATGTATTTACTGATACTTTGCCGCTCGTGTCATCAACATTCCCTGGGGATGTGATGCTAGCTATAGGCTCCACTCTCACTGAGGCTTTATTAGACTTTGATCGGTGCTTTACTTGAACACAATCTGACCATACAGAACTGACTTAGCTGGAACTACAACAGGTGAGCTGATTTGTGCTGTTAAACAAGTCTCTCACACATAAAATTACAGTCGCAATTACTCACATTCACCATTTTTGTTGAAAATAAAATATCTAAACAGAACCATGAATGCTTGTATTGATCACAGACTCCTGAAAACCTGTTGTTTAAATTGATTTTGGATTTTTATGTGTGCATTATATCAGCATTGTAACTAATGAACATTACACCATAGAAATACATAGATACACCCCCAGCATGATGTCACTACAAAGTATCAGTAAGTATTGCATGTGTAAAGACTACAGTTGTGTAAAACCTGTAACAGTGTGGGTGTCTAGGTAAAATTATAAATTAATTGTTTTTAAAATAGTGGTGGGAAACTACACTTTTCTCAATTCTACTTTTAAACACAGTAAATGCAGTGCTATGTTAATTTGGTTACTAAAGTTCCTCAATCAAACCTATGAAAAGGTCCTGTGCAAAAACCAAAACAATTTGAACACTTTTAATTTAAATACACTAGTGTTTGTGGTCATGCTACTAGTGCTACAACAACTACTACTACTATCACTGCTATGACTGTAACTACTAAAATGAATAGCACAAAACCAAACCAAATCCACTGAGGCTGTGATCATTGCAAAGATATTTAGTTATCTTTGCAAATATTAGAAAATTCTAACAACAGATATATTACGTTTTACGCATTTTGTCACTTTAAAATCAATTGGAGGACTTCTCTATTGACTGACAGTTTATTATGGACCCTCTGCTGTTTTGAAATGCCAGTCAGGACATGCCCTTAAGCCGCAAGCTTAATCTTCATCAAATATGAAACAAGGGTGTGCCGGTGTCTACTGCCCCCTCCTGTGAGCCGGGGGTATTGATTAACGATAGGTCAACCTCGGCACAGGGAAGCAGCAGTGAAGCGTGGTACTCAGGAGGGGGGCTTTATATAAAAAAACTCATCCATACTTGGTGTTGTAGGACTGGGGCAGGATTGAGGCCAGAGGGTCCAGCCACACCATCAATGGAAACACTGCTCTATAATAATAACATCTGCAGCTATAAACGCTAACACAATATTAGACTTCCTCTTTAGGTTTTGTCGGGCTACTGTTGTGTTTTCTGTTATATTACTGATAACACAGAAACAATTTTACAATCTTTGCAGGAAATTATAGGCTTATTTCTGTAGATTCATCCTATTTTGTGTTTACGTTACATTAAGGTTTTGAACTTATGAAAGAATGAATAACAAAAAGGAACAATTGACTGTTTTTAAGTTTAAAATTTCTTGTCAATGTTGCTTTTCTCTGTAATTATGAAATTAAGTGCATTTTCAGATTCAGGTCAGATTCACATTCAGTTTATTAACATTGCACTTGTACACGTACAGTGCAATGAAATGCAGTTTTAGCATCTGACCAGTGTGCCAACAGTATTAGTTACAAATTTACATATGACAGAATATTATAAAGCATGAGCATATTGTCAATCATTACATTCATATTAAAGTGCATGATAAAGTGTATGTATTTTAAACTGCACCATTTAAAGTACAAATTTAGGAGTACGAAGTACATTTTAATCAAACTGAGATTCAATTGGCATGTCTACAGAAAATTCTGTATGTACGTAGTTGCATGTTTGTTTTGTGTTAAAATCCATCTGAACTAACCTAAAAGTCTCACTCATGAAAAATAAGACATTTTAATTTGGTTTTGATAAGAAAAATAATTTAATTACAAAACTTGATTCTGTTTTGCCATACCACCCAACCAGATTTTTCTCTGATTGTAAGAAAAATTGATGTTTAAGGGTAGTCCAGTTTTGTCACTCTAATCTGCTGAGGTAGTGTGTAGTGTATTTAAACAGTATACTAGTATACGTAGCAGTGTGTTTATTGTACTGACCCTGTCGAAGTGGTTGAAGGAGGCTCTGAACTCGTTGAGCTGCTCTTGGCTGATGCCTTTAGCGTCTCGCGTCAGGATCTGGTTCTCGATCTCGTTGATGGTTCTGGCGACGGTGGTGAGGAGCTGCTCCCAGCCCACACGGATGTGCTGCAGAGAGGCAGGAGGAAGAGGAGTTAGGATGAAACTTCACACACTGCCTGCAGGGAAAGACTATCACTGCATATGATGTCAATAGTACTTCGAGTTGCCCTGCTATGCTAAATATAGGCCTGTCAGTGTCCTGTCTTTTCACCAGTTTTGAAAATTGAATACCATACCACATTATTAGGTTATAACATGCTAGAAACTAAAGAATCAAGTCCAGTCTGGACAACCAGAGGTCAACAAAAAATATGTTAATGATGTGGTTCCCAAAGTGAGGTCTGGGGCCAGTCAATTATTTTAGAGTCAATTATTATTAGGGGAGCCCCATGTGAGTTAATGTATCTGTCAGTATTGAAGTATATAAAAATTCTTCTTTAATTGCTGAGACAATAATTAAGTACATTGAAGACTTGAATTAAACGGTATTCAATAACTGTCATACCTCCATGGTGTACTTGGTGTGCTTGTTGTCAAAGATGAGGGCCTCCTGGATGAGCTGGTGGTCTCCTTCTAACTGGTCGATCTTTGGTTTGTAGTTCACGATGCTCTTCTCGTACTGACGCAGGTTTGTGAGCTGGTCCTCCAGGGTACCATGCATTTCAATAGAGATACGGCCAATCTCCTACACACAATGAAATAAGGGTTGAGCAATAACTAAAATATTTAAATTTTTACAACATTTTTTGTATGATTCTCTACAGGAATGTCCACATGAAATAGAACTGCTGCTAAACTATCCCAAGAATCACCTTTTTGTATGCTTTTGTAAATTATGACTTTTCAAATTGCAATTTCAATTCTATAGCGATAAATACTGCAGCCCTAAACTATTAATATCAAAAGATAGTCAAGGGAAATATTACTTATATGGAGATAAATTTGTAAATATTTGTGCATATTATTTGGAGAAAACACAAAAACTTTACAGTAAAATCTTATTCTAAGATGTCTGTCGCGCAGGTGCATTCCATTGCAAAAGAACATTTAATTCTATTAGTTGAACAAAAGTTTGTAAGCCTGAAAATATTTCTCCACTTTGGACTTGTTGGACTCAGTGAGACACAACTTTGTCCAGTTGATAGAGTTCAATCTTCATTTGAAAATCTTTTAAATTATGTAAATTGACAATCTCTTTAAACTCACCCCCATCTTGGTCTGGATCCAGGGCCCTATGACGTTGGCCTGGTTGGCAAACTGTAAACGCAGCCTTTCGTTGTTCTGTTGACGAGTGTGTTCCTCAATCAGGGCCTGGTCTCTCTGTGGCACCAGCTGTTTGACCTGTCAGGACCAGGGCACCACACAATCAGGCAAAGTACTGAACACGCCATTCAAAAGTCATTGTGAAGAAAAGTTTGAGTTATAATGAGGCCCAGAGACTTTTGTGACCTGAAATGCCTCCTCAAAAACTTTCTAGATAATGGACAAGCTGTTAAACAGAAGTTAAGGGTCAATGCAGTATCTATATGAAATGATTTTACATTTGAGCAATAAACTTCGAAATTACCAGAGTTATATCCATAAAAGTGACTGGCAAAAAGCTATTAACTTGAGGTGAAATTGAAGGTGATTTGGGACAATCTATAAGTGACATGTCTAATAAACTTCCATTTAAAGTGTCAGAATACATTTTTCATTTCATCATCAAGTTTACTGTGTAACGTTTCCGGTGGACAGTTCATCAAATGCTTTTCTCCATGGAGATGTCTTTACTTTGTCTGGAATGTTTCACACTGTGGCAATAAAACTATCTATCTTTACAGAGACTAAACCAGTGTAAGTTACTGGTCACATCTATGGAGAGGCAGCCTCGCTCACAGTCAGAATGCCTGTTTTTCTAGGTATTCTTGTTACCACATGTAATTGAATAAATGTAAGATAGAGCTGTTTAATGTAATACTGTGTGGAACATTCCAGGCAGAGCAATGACATATCCATAGAAAAAAGCAGGCAACGGACCCCCAACCAAAAAGTCACACAGTGCACCTTTAAGTTGACAACACAGTATACAGGCATTGTATATTTGTAAATAAATGATTTTACAGAATTTTCTCAAGTGAGTTATCTTATTATCAACATTATTATATTATAACATTATTATGCTTCATTGTGTTACCTTGTCCCATTTGAAGTTGATCTCCTGAGGGTTGATGGTGGTGTAGGGGTTGGTCCCAGCGATGTTGACGTGGTAGGTCTGGACGATCTTAGCAATCTCGTTGTGGATTCCCAAAATGGCATTTCGTTCTTTGTCCGCCTCTGGAAGTGTGGCCTTAAACTGGTCATGGGCTGTGCTTAGTCCCTGCAAAATAAAACAATACTGATGTTATTATAAGTGTTGTAAAAATAAGACTTAGGTACATTATCCAAAGTTTAATTAACGCATATTATTGTATTTTGTAAGATCACGCAACATAGTCAGAGGAAATACTGGAAGAGTCTGCTCCATACTGGAAGAGTCTGCTCCATACTGGTTATATTAACGGATTTTCCATGAATTTTCACAGACTTATAACAGGCAAGAGTAATATTCTATGAACCTAATACTGATACTTTGGGGAGATAATGCATGTTTCTTACTGGACTATGTTGAGTCTTGTGTTGTTTACATTAGCAACTACAACCAATAGGGCAGGTGACGTTTTTATAATAAAGTGTCTGGCAAAGAAAAAGTTTCACAAGTTTCGGAAAAAGTCACATTTAATTTTAAACATTTAAAATCTACTTCTAGGGACCCTGAGTCTGCATTGTTAAGGTTTGGTCCTGGTTTGATCTCAATTAAGAAGAAATTAAAATTAAAATTAAAAGTATGTAGAGTACTGTAATAGACCAGGTTAAGTTACAGGTTTAGTCTCAGTATTGATGTGAGTGGACACAATTTTTTTTTAAAGAAAATACTGTATTTGCCTTTCAGAGCATACAAAACATCAGCTCAACCAGGGTTAAACCAGCACATGGGCCTTTTTATATTTTGTATCAACAAGTGAAAAACAAATTATGTGATACTGCTGAAGGTCAAACTGGACCCCATATGTTCCCTGCACCATGTTCTAAAGGTGCACTTGTTTCGCCCACCTTGATCTCCTCGATGGTGTGCACTATAAAGGTGTCCTGGAGGTCCTCCATGGCGCCCTCCAACCAGTTGTTGAAAGGAGCCGCTCTTTTGGCAAACTCCAGGTACAGCTGGTCAATGGTCTCCAGCAGTTTCTCCGTTCTCTGCAAAAACACACAATATGTCACGAAGTCAATACAAACACAGGGTTTAATGTACATGTGTGTTGAGGGTTTAATTTGGTATAAGATATGTTTATAGGCAATATGTGGTCAATTGTTAGAAATAAGGAATGTCTCACCAAATGTTTGCAGTAAGACTATGACTATAGCTATTATAATTGGATATATTTACAAGTATACTGGACAGATGTATTTCATTTACTAGTGCTGTGTTTACTAGCAGAATATTTTCATGCCTCAAATAAAATAGTGCTGAAATAAAAGTGTTTAGTTTATTCTAAATGTAAAAACAAGGTTTTCCAACAAGCAAGGAAATCCAGTTGTATGCTCTTTTTATTGTTTTGATTTTATTAGAAAGCACTTTGGTCACCTTGAACATGGCAAAGTGCTCTATAAATAAATGTTGATCAATTCATCCATAATTTAGGCACACACATGAATTACAAGTCCCTTGGTTTTTTTCAAAATATTAGCTGCACTTCAGTATTTTCATAGGCTTCAGTTTGACTTTTGCAGGCACCATTTTGAGTACTTTTCACTATTCTTAAACTAGAATATTTTGTTTTGAATTGTCAATCACTATGGAGACAGTGCTCAATTTCAGTAACTCAGAAGCCCATTGCCCTTCTGTGTGCAGCATTAGAGTGGGTTTCAGCTTCCTGTTACATGCAACACTTTGAGGACTTTTTCCCATTTTTGTTTTAAAGGGACAGTTCAGAATTTTGGACATAGAGCCTCATTTCCTAGTGAGCCAAAATACTGTAGATATGTAGAGACACTTTTTGAAATAATCCACCCAATCCTTGTATTTGGAGTGGTTGTTGATGCTAGGCTACCGCAAGTCAATGGCCACTGTTAGCCTGCCACTAAAAACAGTCTTACCCACTCCACAAAACACCCAAAGCAAAACTATTATTACACCAGACTGTCGATGTAAATGTCTGTGGCAATAGAATTATTTTAGAGGTAAAACTAACCTTGTATCGCATGAATTGTCGCACTTTGAGAGACTATTTTCTCAGCAGCAGTGGAATTTTACTCTGCTCTAGTTAGTTGTGATGATGTGAACGTGGCCATAACTGGAACAAGCTTCTTCCTGTGCTTTAAACAAACTATTACCCCGAATTCACACCAGGAGTTGCAGCAGCGCTTAACGTAGGCAGAGCTGTGCGTACGCGTAAATTTCAAAGTTTCAATTTACACCAGAGCGTCAGAGACGCTCCTGCTACGCAGCCTGCACATCTTCTCACTGTTTTCAGACATCACATTTTGTACTTGCTTTTTATCATTTATTTTATGTTAAAGTGTATTAAGTTAGAATGTGTATTAAGTGTATTGTGAATTAAGTGTAAAACTGCAACGCATTTGCGTTTAATGAGGTTTAAATATAATTAACATACATTATGAGCACGATTAAAATATCCGTCCAGGTAATAAGGCCTATACGTTTATATGTAGATACTGAATCCTGCACCGATGGATAAGGGAAAATAGTCGCTGAAACGGGCGAGTTTTAACGTTCTGGAATTTTAAGGGTGGGTCAGGACTAATTCAGGTCTAAACCAGGTCTAAACCAGGTCTAAACCATGACTAAACCCGGACTAAATCAGGTCTAAACCAGGTCTGATCCTGGAGAGAGAGAGAGATAGCGAACCCTGAGCCTCACGGAGCAGGTGTCCGAAAAGCGCGACGGCTGCACGTACCTCTTCTCCAAGCTCTGTACCGGTCCTTTTGCCCGCGGACACTCGGGGCTACACGGAAGGACCTTCGAGCACATTTCGACAGTGAGTCCTGGTTCTGGTTTAGTTCTGGTTTAGTCCTGGGTTAGTCCTGGGTTAGTCCTGAGTCCTGGTAGAATTGGTGTCTGACATTGTAAATCACGTGCGTGTTGTTTACTTCGCTGTCTTGACTTTGTTTAAATTATTTTGAAAGGGCATCGGAAGTTTATTTTGACACCGCATGTTTATTTCCTGTCTTTCCCCTGCTAAAAACCTTGGAGACGCGCCGTTGATGCTGCAAAATTAGAACTCCAACCTATCTCGAGCAGCGCGTCAGCGTCAGACACTCGTTGGACGCGCGTATGACACTGTCGGTGTACACTGTCAGACCGGTTAAAATGGAGTTGTAAAGCAGCGTGTCTGCTGCTCGTGTGCTGTGCTGCTGCGCTTACGCGCCGTTGCGCTTTGGTGTGAATTGGGGGTTACAGAGCCAGTTGGTGCTACGTGATATCAGTCCGCCGCTGCCGAACTTTCTATCAGGAAGTACAACTCCCTGTTGCTGTTCAGACATAAATCCTTCAAATGCAAGGTTGGTTTTACTTCTAAAATTTTTCTATCGACACAGACATTTATGTCGACAGTCTGGTATAATAATAGATTTGCCTCAGATTCTTTGTGGAGTGGGTAAGACTGTTTTTAGTGGCAGGCTAACAGTGGCCATTGACTTGCGCTAGCCTTGCACCAGCGACCTCTGCAAATACAAGGACTGGATGGATTATTTCAAAAAGTCTTCACATATCTACAGTACTCTGGCTCACTAAGAAATGAGGCCCTATGTCCAAAATTCCGAAATGCCCCTTTAAAATATTCATTGCTATGGCAACGGTCCTAGTTTCTCATCCTCCTGAGATCTGTGGATACAGCAGTATCCTGGTCGCACCTGCAGAGCCTCGTTGCGTTTCTGAGTCAGGTTCCCCAGAGCATCCCACTGGTCACAGATCTTCTGACAGCGTGCATTCACACTTGGGGAATCGTAGTAGTCCAACTCACTTCATACAAACAGGCAAAATTATTAGTATTACATCATTATGGTTAACCAAAAACAGCATGTATTATCCAAATGTGTTTTTTCTAGTCTGTAATTGTGTTTATCCATTGGGGTTTGGTTAAATTAATGGCATTAGCAAAGGTGACCCCTGAATAAATGGAAAAATGGAAACCAGAACCACAAAAATAAACAAAAATAAAGCAGTAAATGACTGTTGTATTCACTGTATTTGAATTCAGATCATGGCAGGGATGTACAGCCAAGTCAGTAAGATGAGGGTAAGCGTGCTATGATCTGTCTATAAACTGTCTGCGCACTGACAATAAATAATCACTTAAAGGTGGAGGGTCTGCCATACTGTACTTAAGTCTAAACATTTGCACGGAAAAGGTAGCATCTGTCTATCCCAGTTTGTTTCAGAGTGCTATTACTGTATTATTTTACAAAGTTACTAAACTTAAGTCCATAGTTTGTCTCTTACTTGAGCTCCTGTGCGATGGCTGCAATCTGCTCCACTCTGTCCTGATGCGCCGCCAGGTCGCTCTCAAACGCCTCGTGCTTCTTTAGCAGAGCCTTGATCTCCGACAGAGAGGCCGTCTCAAAGTCCTTCTTCTGCAGCATCTCCTCTTTACCTGCACAGAGACAAGGGATAAGTGCACTGGACCCTAACGATAGACATGTTTCGTATCTTAATCAGACTCAATGGTCAGTTAATGACATAGACAGACAGACAGACAGACAGACAGATAGACAGACAGACTGATAGATAGATAGATAGATAGATAGATAGATAGATAGATAGATAGATAGATACTTTATTTGCAGTGCACTCTGTTCACACAACACATACAAAAGAGGGTCAGAGTTAAAAGACATTTAAAAGAGTAAAATGTTGCAGTAAATGCATATTCGTAAATACATTGATAAAATGTGTTAAAGTGTTAAACAGTTAGAGGCACTGAGATACAGGAGGTGATCCAATTTTGGCAACAAAGCAAATTGGTTGTGTAATTAATGGTAAATGATAAGAAATCCTTACAAATGGTGAGCACTGGGAAGATAGTGTTTGGCTAGTAGTTTGGCTTCCAACTTTAAATTTTGAATATTGATAAGAAGGATTATTTGAAAGTAAACATGTATAATGGGAAGCTCAAATTTAGCAAAATCTAATAAGCAATTAGCTCCTTGAATACTGTACATCTACAAGAAAAGAGAAGTACAAGTAAAGTTTAAAGGAAGTAAATTTTCTGGTGGCAAGGTTACATGGTGCACCTTTTAATTCTTGTGTTGACTTTATTTATAGATAGTGCTGGGAAGTTACCAAATACATGTACCAAGAATACGTGTTTCTGAATATTAATTTGGAGTAACTGCATTCCAGTACAAATCAAAGGAACACATTGCAATACTTCATTGCATGATTTAATATTCAAACTGCACAGTATTAGTGGCAAAAATAAAAACACAGCTCTTGTGATGCATGCAAGTGTGATTTAAACTTCTCCAAGTGATAGGAAATGCTTAAACAACACTGAAACAAACATAAAGCTGCTGATAGATCTATGTTCCTTTTTGAAACTATGATTTAAATGCAACTCCATGTAAAAGTATTCTTCCCATCACAGTAATTTCGGTAAGTAGCCATTTGATTTCTAAAGCTGTGAGGAATTGTATGTTGTGTTAGACTTAGACTAAGACAAACTTTATTGATTCATAAGGGAAATTATTTGGACACAGTAGCTCACAGCATAATTTAATAACAAAGAGAATTGGTATAGTAAATTCTAAATAAGTAGCAGAAATAGCAAAAGACTGATGTCAAATGAGGCAAAATTATATAAATGTATATGTACAAGTAAAAATAAAATATAGTTTAGGGTGTGTGTGTGTGTGTGTGTGTGTGTTTATATTACCTTCAGTCCATGCTTCGTGAATGCTTGCTTTTTGCCTAAACTTCTGGGCGAGGTGTTCGAGCCTCTCCAGTCTGCGGATATCGTTGAGGAGCCACTCCTCGTAGCCCTTCTCCGCCCCCTCCAGGTTGGACCAGGCGTTGTTGATATCCTGCCCACGGTAAATGACAACACTTCAGAGACGGTTCAAACCCTCATGAATGAATAAAAATGTCTGAAACACGCTTCTTCACGCTCTGATCATTTAAAGATGGGGGGTCTCCATGGTTACGGAATTAAACAGCGGCGAGGTGATTGTCCTTGAAATAAATGGGATTTTTAAATTCAATAGGGGATGGATGGGGATGTCTTTGTCCTTGAGGAAAAGGAAGATGAAAATTTCACCAGTTTGATATTTCAGATGGGAAGCATTACAAATATAGGCATCTTGGTGTGACATGTTTTAAAGTTTTCGATTTTGTGTTTTAATGAAAAATGGGCAAAAAACAGATAACGACCGTTTCCCGTTTACATGACTTAAACTGAGATGCTGGACTGAACCAGGACTAAACCAGGACTAAACTGTTTTCAGTCCTGGTCTGGTCCCAGTCTCAGTCCCGGTCTCAGTCCCGGTCTCAGTCCCGGTCTCAGTCACGGTCTCAGTCACGGTCTGGTCCTGGTCTCAGTCACGGTCTGGTCCTGGCCTCAGTCCTGGTCTGGTCCCGGTCTGGTTCCTGTATGGTTCCAGACCTGTTTTAGTCCTGTTTTAGTCCTGGTTCAGTCCTGGTTCAGTCCGACATCGCAGTTTAAGTCACGTTAACGGGATATGGTTGTTATCCGTTTTTTTTCCCCATTATTCACACAAAATCGAAAACTGAAAAAACAAATCGTTACCTGTTTTTTCATTTTGGTTTTGGAGACAAATAATGAAGAAAACAGTTGTTTTTTCATTTTCTTATTTTCGGTTTTATATTGAAAAACGAATGAATGAATGATGCACAGATTTGTCTGCATCTGTCCAAAGCTAAGAATACTCTGTTCCACAGGTGTCAAACATAAGGCCCGGGGGCCAGATTCGGCCCTCCAACACCTTTAATCTGGCCCTCGGCTGATTTTCTACTAAAATATTTTAATTATATTTTCTATTAAAATATTGGTAATTTTCTGCGGTGTTTATCACAGCAGCGTCTCCAGCGTCTCTGTACGTGGCCCCTCCCACAAGAGTAGCACAAATGAAGACTTGTCTTTTTCCAAACGCTCTTAAAGGACAATCGTTTTGACTGTTGACCGTGACACCCTCATCAACAAAATGTCAAACATGAGAAAAGTGGAGCCAAGTGCAGGATTTTACAAGAAAAATTGACTTATTCCTATTTGCAAACAAGTTCATGTTAAAATATTGTGTTGAAATTGTATTTTTCTTAAAGTTTCAGGTTGTTCATAATATTATAATATTTTGTAAAAGAAAGAGTTCATCAATTTAAAAAGATTTCTGTAATAGATTTGTGTTTCTCTGCACAAATATTTGAACTTATTGTTATTTTTGGGGTTTATATGCCATGAGTTTTCTGATCCGGCCCCTTTGGGATCAAAGTAGGTTGGATACGGCCCCCGAACCAAAATGAGTTTGACACCCCTGCTCTGTTCCATCTTGTAATATCAGTAGCAGTAGCTTTCAGGTCAACATCTACCTTTTACCTTTAATTCATGAGAGACTGGCAATTCCAGGACTGAAATCATCCAAATTATTCTTATGAAGGTGTATGAAGTTTAAAAATACAATGGAGCACTTCTTGTATTACCAAATGACATCACAAGGTGGAGCAGAGTGTTTTCTGTTTGAGAGAAGAACTCAACTTAAATATGCAGGGTTTGTTGGTTAAACTTGAATGTGTTAATGGAAAAACACAACTCTAGGTATATTTTTGATGAGAAAACATTATAGCATAGAACAGAAAAAGCATAATATGGGCACTTGGAACTTTGTCCATACTAGCCTATTCCATTTAGTTTCATGTCCAGTTTCCACCTTGGATTAACATTGTTTTAATGTTCAGGTAATACATAATCAGTGTTTATTATTCATATAAATAGCATGTCCTTCCTCTTTACTAGACTGGAAAATTGGCCTTCTTCTTTTTCTAATGCCTCCGAGGATCTTTCTAAGCCCTTGGATAATATTGCATGTTAACATACACAATATGAGACTTATTATGGGATTTGATTATTCCCCTTTCTTGCCCATAAAGTATACGCCTCACAGTGGAGTATTTTAAGTCTTCAGACCCACTTTTATTCTCTGGTTTTTAACGCTTGTGTGGTCCTCTGTATTTTTAATTACTTAATTATTATGATTATTTTGTAAATGTATTTATTGCTATGTTATGGCTTTGCTTTTATTTGACTTTTTTTAGGACTGGCCAGATTAAATTGAGCATTTTTACACTTTGTTGTTTTTGGTAAATGGTCACATTTTTATATACCACCTTCAAGGTACTTTACATCAAGGGACCACTCATCCACACATTCATACACCAGTGTACACAGACACTAGGGGTGAGGTTGGTTAAGTGTCTTGTCCAAGGACACAATGACAGATTTCATCCGAGAGAGCTGGAATCACACCAGCCAACCTGTGGGATCTGACCTGTTCAACCAATGATACTTATATCAGCAGTGGGAGTCAAACCGCCAACTTTCGGATCAGTGGGCAAACACTCTACAAACTGAGCTACTTTAACTTCTTCTGAGCTACTGTTGTTTTTAATGTTATCTTCACATGTGCAGCACAGAAATAAAGTGGGATTTTATACACTCAAAACATTTCAAAATCTTTAACTTACGGACACCATCTTGCCCTCGGACGGCATGAACGCGGGCCGGTTGCTGAGTCTGAGTTTGGTCTGTAGCGTGTTGAAGCTGATCTCCAGTTGGCACTTCTCTTGGACTTTGGGGGGTTTGTGGAGACGTCTGTAGTCCCTGAAGTCCTCTAGTTTCTGCTGCATTGCCTGCATGGTGTTCTCCGGCGTTCGGTTTTCCAGCCACGGGATGGTGTGGCGAATCCACTCCAACAACTACAGTGTTTTTGTGTTTTGTTTTTGTGTTGGTGCAGTGAGGAGTGAGGGTTAAGAGGGGGTGATGAGGTGAAATGGGTGAGGAGAGACAGAGGAGACATGCAAATAAATGGAGAAATTGTGAAAAAGGGAGATTTTGGAAAAGAATTTGTGTTGAAAGTGTAGGAAACAACAGCAACATAAAATATAACATCAGTATCATGATTGTAGAAGTCATTCATAATTACGGTGATTGGGGTAATTTTGGTAATTACTCGGGTTAACATAATAATTTGGTATTGTTAATTATTTGGTGACTAATATAGTTTACAAATAATTAACTTATTTTCAAGGAGTTGACTTTGTAATGATTTATAGTTTATGGCCTGCAGTTGTTGACACTGAATAAATACATTTTGTCATCTTTTTCCATGGGGCATTGCAAGTGATAAGATATATTAGACTGTATTATTTGTCAATAATGTAATAAAGCAATTATTTCTATCCAAGTGATCGCTTCCTAGTAAACTGCTTTCTGTTGGCTTGGCAATAATCGTGAGAGTGTACTGTAGACAGCTCATATCAAATTAAAGTCATTCTAATTTTCACAGAATACAGTGTCTGGACACTTTTGTCCTGAGGGCTGTTACTCGCCTCAAACTGCCCTGAAACTACCTGACGATTCCTCCTGTTAAGATGAACTGATATCTTTGTTTGAGCTATTCTATTGTTATTGTATCTTAACAAATAAAGTTACACTCATTAACTGATTAAGTCAACATAAGCTTCACTCTATTTAAATGTAATATTATTTTTCTATTGGCCAATGAAACCTACTACGGCCTATATAGCCTTAAAGAGCACAGGGGCAGTGGTGACAGGAGCAGAGAGTGGGGCAGATGGGTACAGGGGACAGTTATAGGAACATGGGAGTTGTGCTCACATCACTGGCCAGTTTCTCATAGTCCTCCATGAGCTGCTCGTTCTCCTGGTTCACGGCCAGCACTTTGCAGATCCTGTTGGCTGCTGTCTCCGCCTGCGGCACATCCACAAAAATAAGAAACATATGAAACGGGGCTATTTTTAGACCTTAGCCGTGAGTCACCCACACCAAATATATGACTATTTTGGATTTATGTGCTTTCCTTAAAAAGCAGAGTATAAAGTATGCAGCTAGCACAAGAAATACAAACACTACAAATGCCAGGTTCTCAAACGAAGGTGCACGTACAATTGCCAGTGTTTCTATAAGCTTTTACAATCCAGAATTGGTATTGATTTTATTTACTTGTTCTGTTGTTACTTGAGATAAATAACAGCTGCATAATACATTTGGATCAGGTTTGTCTTATTTTATTTTTGTTTCAAGGAAATAAAATCCTGTTTTCAATCTCTGCACTAGTATCGATTTATATTCGGCATGAACAGATACTTAAAGTTATAGTATCGAAATCAGAAATCAGAACTTAAAAGGCTGGATCAGTGCATTCCTAGTTTTACATCCAGGTTTGAATTCAGTTTAATTTAGTTTTATCTCAGTTTAGACCTGGCTTACAGTTTGCATCTTCTATTGTCCTGAGTTGGTTTCTACATTTGACTTGGAAACTCTTCCTCATTTAACAGTGCGCTGGAGATGTTATTGCTTTTCCTTGTTAAGCTTGATATATTTCTCTTGCCTATTACTTGTTACACAGAGCTTGAGAACCCCTGTTTTGTGTTTATTTGTAGAAGGTTATTTGTATTCAGGTGTGTTTTCTGATGAGATTCTCAATTGAACTATTTATAGCAACAGCCACAATGTGTTTCCTAGATCTAAACACATAAGATGCACTATATCAAGAACTGCTAGAGGAAATAAACAGTGTAATTAAGGAAACAGAACCAAGGCCGAATCAGTAGACTGGCAACACATGAAGAATTAAAAAGTTTTCAGAATAACAAAGCATAAAGTTTCAGAAAAGCTCAGAAATAAACAGAAATTGCAGATAGAAAGTTGCTTGTTCAAATACCACATTTCACTGTAAACTTTTTTATATATATATATATTTATGTGCATTATAAACATTTAAATGGTGTGCAATTATAACGGGGAGCATTTGCCTCATTATCAATTTATTTGTCCAAAACAGAACTGTAAAAATATAGTTTGTGACCAATTACATTTTATTAGAGTGGAATATGCGGTTGCGCTGTGTTATGCAATGTCTCCCTAAAGCTTAATCTTAGACTCCCAACAAAATTTAAATGACAGCTATAAAAACAATGGTAGCATTAGTGGTGAAAATTTTGCAACTAAAATGGTAAACACAAGTCTGAAGATATTGAAAAGCGGTCATAAAAGAGACCACTGAACTAGATCCATTAGTACACAACCTGTCAGCCAACCTCAAGTAACTTGAAAATATCTTCAAATACCAAAATGTGCAGATTAATTTGCCCAGTGTTAAAGGTGCACTGTGTAACTTTTCTGGTGGAGGGTTTGTCATCTGCTTGTCTCCATAGAGATGTTATTGCTTTGTCTGAAATGTTTCACAGTATGCTATTAAACCTTTCTATACAGGTCTCATCTGAGGAGAGGCCAAACAGCTCACAGGCTCAGTCAGAATGCCTGTTTTTCTATGTATATTTAAACTATAAAAGCACCTGTAATTTACCTGTTTAATGCCATACTGTGGAACATTCCAGCCGTAGAAACAAGCAGGTGATGAACCCCCCAACCAAAAGTTACATAGTGCACATTTAATTTCTTCCTCTTAAACCACCAGTGGACTAAAGGACATTTGTTTAATTCAGTAAATATAATTTCATGGTTATCTTATGAGTATTAAGAATAACTGAGGATTTACAGTTTGAGAAGAATCCAGGAAGAATCACAGTGTTTGTGGGATCACTCTTGACAGGGGAAATGGAGACACCAACTGTTCCCCCACACCTCCAGTTTTTATAGTGTCTCTGCCAAATCTATAAAACTAACTGTCTGCTACTGCGTATAAGGAGTGTTTATGGTCCTTACTGGATATTTGCAGATGGTTGATAAGATCATTTCAAAATTGTACATTTAATTATCTTATCTTTATGAGTTTCAGTGTATGAGGTCATGCATTTTTCCACAGGGTGACTCCATTTGATCCAAACTCTTCTCATCTGTTATTCGAAAGCATTGCATCAACATTGCGTAACACACAATTTATTCTTGTGAGCATTAGGTCATGTGATAATGTTGTTACCTCATTAAAAACATAAATAGAATATGTTTTGTTTCATTCACACATGCTGGACTAATCCTTTATTGTCAGTCTGTCTATTTCCAAAACTCAAAATGCTGTTCCACCTTGTCTTTAAGTAGTAGTTTTCACGTTAAAAGCTACGGTTTACCTTTATTTCAGTATAGATTGGCAATACCATATCTGAAATTATCCAAATGATTCTAGTGAATGGAGTTTAAAAACACAGTGGAGCACGTCCTCTATTAGCAAAACATCACAAGGTGGAACATAGTATTTTCTGGTTACACTAGCACTTGTTTGGCTGTTTGGTCATGATTTAGATTTTATAATAACACCTATTTAGCCTTAACATTAAGAATGAGTTAAGTTTATAAAGAATGATTCAGGCTTAGTAATTGCTTAATTAAGTAATCCTACCCGCTTAGTTAAGTAGTTACAAAGCCTGAATCTTTCTTAATAATCTAACTATTTGCTCATTATGAATTTAAGGCTAATTAAAGTGTTTTTTTTTTAAGTGCTTTAAAACTGGCCATGTTAAAATACAGTATAACATTTTCAAGGAGCAGACTAATGACAACATAATAACTTGACTGTTTTGTGATTAATTTGCAAGTACTTCATTATTATTTAGTACTTTGTTGCTCTCACCTTCTGTTTGCCTGAGAAAGCGTGGTAGTAACACGACACATAGGTCATGACGGCCTTCTCATCGGGCCTCAACGTGCTAATGATATCTGCACAAGAGAAGAGCCAAAGGAGCAGAGAGAGGAGAGAGAAACAAGGCAGAGGTAAAAGAGTGCAAGAGACAACAGGGCCAGCAGGGGGCGCAGTCACAGGAGGCAGCACTGAGCACAAGGCATCTGCAGTCTACATGCAGCAAGATCATCAAAATATTATAAGGTACATACTTTTAAAAATGCAAATATCTAGTGAATTTTATGGATACAGCAAATACAACACCAGTTTCTCTCATGCTATGCTAAGATATTTGAAAATTTTGGCCTTTTTTTTTTTTTGTAGCAAACATCTTAAAATGAGCTGTAGTAAGCAGTTGGACTTGAATAGCCTTTTCACTAAATATTTGTTTAAACTTGGGTAATAATTTATTTGTATGTTTGATACATTCATGCATACAAAGACTTGTTTACATCTAAACATACTGAACACACTAATCACAATTCATTTAAGTACGCAAACAAAACTCCAGCAGTGATCAGACTCTTCCTCTGCTCTTTTTCACTTATAAACAGTCACTTTTTGTATTGCTAAATACAGCTGCTTCAAACTGTCTCAGAGGACCCTGTGAGCTGGAGGGCTGTCACTGTAATTACTATATAAACTCATCGCTCACTCAATGGCAGATGTATTTTTGATGGGTCCGTGTGGAATATGCTATTATTATTTATAGTATGAGAACATTAGGGATGTTGAGGGCTGAATAATTAAGATCCATGACTCATTGAAAGTACACTGAAGTCCATTGAGGTCTATTTAGAGACTGACTGATATGTTTTTTTCATGGCCAATGTCAATACCAATGTTTTGACCAATATATCAAACCACATATCACTATTTTAGTTTCTTTCTAACATATATTTATTCCAATTAGGTTTTATGAAGATTGTTAAGAAGCACTCTGGAAACTGTCTTGTTTATAAAATGTGTTATGCAAATAAATTTGGATTAAGAGTTGGTTGAAGGAAGGTTTATTTGGATTATCTTCCTTTTGTTCACGATAATTACTATATCGACTTATCATTCAATATATAAGACAGTTGGAACAATATTTTTTGGAGGTCAGTATTTGTCATGCATACCTTTTCTTTGCACTAATGGGAAATTTGTGCTTATTTTTTTCCGCAATATGATAAGATTTGAGCTACTGATGGTTGAATTATGAACTAAAATTATAATATGATTACTTAAGTGTTTGCAATCTGCTGTTTATTTGTTGCAGCCCAATAATATGTAACAATACTATACATTTAAAGTACCATATTTTCCGCACCATAGGGCGGAACGACTACGCGCCCCACAATCCAGAGCGCCCTATACACGAATCCACTCGGGTGTCCCAGCACGACTTCAGTAAACTACAAAGCCACACCACCCGCAGCGCACCCAAACACGCACGGAGCAGACAGCGACTGCGCAGTGAAAAACAAGTCCCACTGACCCATCCTACTATTTTGTTTCGTTTAAAGTCCGGTGCAGTTTATTTGTGAAAATAGGCCATTCAATGACAGTGCGCCTTATAATCCAGAGCACCCTATAGTGCGGAAAATACGGTACTTTTTGGGGGTATAATTCTGCTTTATGTTTTGCTTTAAGTATTATCATTTATCATCTATATTTACTTCAGCAATATATCTCACTTCAGAATCTGTTATCATGACAGGCCTATTATTTAATTGTCATAAAATAGGTTCAGTTCAGTCTATTACAATATTTTACACAGCTTTTGTAATAGTTTTTTGTGACAGGCCTAGTATGCTGTCATATGTCAAAGTTAACCTGCTTCATCCAGTTATCAAAGTCAATCAGGAGCACGCAAAACAAACACTCCCCCGCTGCACTTGTCTGTTAAAATAAATGCTCCGAACTGAAGGGCCACTTTTCACTCTGTCGTTTGGGTCAAGCTTGAATGTAAACAATAGCAGACCTGTGCAGTTAAGCAACATATTAAAAGAGAGGGCTACATTATAAAGGTCATCTATTTCAGCTTTATTTGCATTGCAGATAACTAAGTCTTTAATGATTGGACTTGCTCCAGGTTGGAGTTTATGTTGAGTGAGAAGGTAAAACAGCTTGAGCCAAAATGGTTGTGAAAAATCAATATCCAGATGATAATTGGTACTAAAATTTGAAGAAAATTCATATGAAGAAGACAAATCTGGACTTTAGTTTTATAGTCTGGATCTAAATCAGCACTATTTTAAGACTACATGATAATATTTTGTGTTAAAAATTCTGTTCTGTTTTCGGAATAATTGTGGTAGGCTATTGAAATCTGTACCAAGACTTTATTACTGAAATCAAGTTTGAAATTGAAAAACTATCCATAAATCACAAGGTCAAATGCACCAAAACTACTTTTACTCACTAATGTTTTCTGTAAAATCACTAACAGCCCACAGGGAGTTTATATTTATGTGATAACTTACAGTAGCTTTTAATCCACACAACTGCATTGTGATTCAATTCATTAATAGCGTAGGATTTAAAAAGCAGATTACAATTCGCTCAATGTAAAAAACATAACTAATATAATGTGAGTTTTGTGTACGATCCCTCAGTCATCCAGGTAGAATCCATGGCAAAAGCAGAAATTCAGTTTGTCAACTAGACAAATGTTTATTTGGTCGAATATGTTTGCAGCTCATCCAAGCTGCTTCTCCAGTTTTGGGTAACTGGACAAAAGTTCATTCGGTTGAAAACTTTTGTCCAGTTGGCAAATTGCATTTCTCCTTTTGCCATAATGTGAGAGGTAACTCGGCCAATTCTCACTAATATTCATTACAATGCAGATTGACTGACAATGCCCTTGTGCTCACTGCCTTTCCCAACTTTCCCATCATGCATTTGGTGAACCATGCTGAAAACACAGTGACTCCTGGAGGAGAGAGAAGGATCATTAGGAGGAAGAACAAGGGAAGGAAGTGAGGAATGAAGGAGGCAGGAGGTAGGGAAGGAGGTAACGCTGCATCCTTGATACCTTCTGGGCCCCGGAGAAGGCGTGGTAGAAACTAGACACGTAGGTCATGATGGCTTTCTCATCCGGACGGGCTGTGCCTACAATGTCTGTGGACGGGACACAGGGGCAGAGGAGGGAGAGGGAGGGGTGGGGAATTGGTGGAGGGGATGTGAGTGGTTAAATAAAGCTTACATCAGTGCACAAACAGGAACAAATGCCATGGGAATCGCTTCATTCAAAACAATCGGATGTAACAGGAAAACAGTATTATTAGAGATGAGAGTTCAGAATGACCTAAAACAGATTTGCATTTATCAAAAAATCTGCCATAATATTGTAACACCTAATAGGTTGACAAAGAAGATAAAAGCAGCACTATGTAACTTTTCTGGTAGACTTTGCCATTTGCTGTTATTGCCTAAAGTGTTTAACAAAGTATGGTATTATTTTAAATGGATCCATCTCCATGGTGGTATACTTTTTTCTTTCTTTTTTCTTTTTTTTAGCAATGAAAAGCCTGTAATTGAATAAAGAAAGATAGATTAATGCTGTACCGCGAAACATTCCTCAGCCCAGAAAAGTTACATAGTGCACCTTCATAAATTAAGTTTTGTAGCACTAAAATTTATTCATTGTGGTAAGTGCTAATCATTGTAATATTAGAGTAGAGTAGACTTGTGTGATTTAAAGTTCAGATAAAAAAACATATGACTTCAACGCTACAATCAGCAGCTGTTTAAAATCGACTGGGCTGATTAAATTTCAATAAAGTTTTAAAATCACATCATGTCCATTACCACGGACACAGGTATTATATTAGAGAGTCAATGCAATGTTCATGCTTTGAATCTAAAACAGCGGCTTTAGACAAAATACATTCACTGCACCACATTTTCTCAAAATTGCTTCTGGAAGGGAGTTTGACGTGATAATTTTAATTTTCTTTTTATGCTCACCTTCTGCATCCAACATTTTGGGGATGTCCAGGTATTTCTCTGCAACATCAAAGGCTGTGTTCAAGTTGGTCATTGGATCGTCCTGCAGCAAGGAAAAAAAACAAAAACTGAAATGTCGCTGAAATGCCCTACAAAAATGCAGAAAACCAATGTTTTTATTTGTTATGTCATGTTTTAATAGATCTATATAAACCATAGACTGTATAAAGAAGAAGATTAAGGGAGCGTTTGGCTCCAGTCAAATGAAGCTCACGAGGCTAGCAGTTATGGGTCGAATTTAGATTAGGAATAGAAATTGATTTATGGACAAAATAGCTAAATAAAATACATAATGACTACACTGTGATGTTAATATAAGTAACCATAAACAAGAAGCTTTTTCAGTTATTTTAAGACAAAAAACTGGTCTTGTCATAAACACCAGACTTCAGCTTTTGCGTTTGATAAATGTTTGATATTATCTCGGCAGGAGGCAAAAGACTGCTGACTATAACTGAGACGAACAGACTGTGTTGTTATTATAATGACTAAACACGGCACTTGAAAATAAGGAATTTATAAACTACTACAGTCTGCTACAGTCTCAACTCTTATAGTAGCAATTCCACCAAATTTTAGATGTACACACAATTATTTAAAAATACTTAGCCCTTCTGGTACTTATATCCAAACATGCTGAAAATGATTTTAGATATTTTGTCTTGTACAGTTACACATGAGAGTGACTGACCTTGCGTAGTTTTCCGTAGTCGATGAGTTCAGGACGGTGTCGGTGAATGAGTGCACAGAAGCCCAAACCATCTTTCCAACTGAAAGAGAAAAAAATCATTAAAAATATAGTTTATTGAACATCCTATATTACACAAAATAGACTCTTGTGGGCTTTAAGCCTGGTTATAATGTTGTTACTTTTTTGAAACATAACTGCACTTGTGTTTTGTTTCATTCACGCGTATCAGAATGTTCTGTTTCACCTTGTGATATAATATAGTGGTAATTTTATAGTTAGCAGCTACCTTTTACCTTCTGTTCAGGAGAGATTGGCAATTCTGGAGCTGAAATTGTCCAGATGATTCTAGTGAAGGTGCATGGAGTTAGAAAACACAGTGAAGCACCTCCTGTATTACCACATGACATTGCAAGGTGGAACAAAGTGATTTCTGTGTGAGAGAAGAACTCTTGCATCTTTAACATGTGTGAATGAAACAAAACAAAACTCCAGGTATGTCTGTGTTCATTTAAATGTAGTTGGAGATACACAAAAGATGTTCAGAGAGAGAATTATTTTACCTAAATCTATATAATATTCTTGTGTGTATTTTGTAGTATTGGTCCTAATACTTTCTAGTACTCACAGTTGAGACAAAAACAAGGAGAGAACCAGAGCATAGTGTTGTGTTTTGTCTACATATCACTTAGACTGTTTATTTTGTGGAGAGTGGGTGGACAACCTATTGCAGTAAATTACAGAGAGAGAATACTAAAACATTGCCCATCTCTGCTTCTTTAGAGACAGAGGAGAGGTTTTGAAGGCAGAAAGATGCTCTCAAACACAAATATAAATCAGATGAAAGCTTCGGTGGGGGCAGGGGAGCAGGGCCAACCTCACCTCAGCCTGTCCTGACCTTCTGCTTTCATCCCCCTCAGAGGAGCACAGTGGGCAGCTCCACATCATTTACTGTGTTCATGTGTAACACGGATACAGGCACTTTAATGCCACTCACAGTGAATATCATATGAGTAAGACTGGAGGAAATGTTTTATACAATTCATGATTTTGGCCTCGCTATTTATGATTTATGTTATTTAATATTTTTGCTGTCACTGTAGCACTGTTTTTGGCACAATAGCTCCTCAAGAAATGTAACTTTCCAGCACTTGGCCCTTTTTTGTCCATTTCAAATGTAAAAACATGGGGGAAAAACATCTCACGAGATAATTTTTGTCACGTGTGCACAATGTTGAGCAATTTTGTCTCACGAGATCTTGTGGTATGGGAACTTGGCCCATCCTCAGCTATTTGGTCAATTTTCTCAAATGAAAAACAGCAATTTTATTCAGCATAAAAACTGCTAACCCCTGTCGTGTAGTTCTGTCCAAGCATGTGTCTTTTATCAGTTTGTTAGTTCATATTCATATAGTTATTTCAGTCTTATTTCCCTAAAGTTTTGCAGAGTTATTTCAGTCTTTTTGTATTGTTCTTGGACAATGTGTTTAAAATTTGAACTTTGAACAAAATCCTATTGTTAAAACATACAACGCAAATCTCATCACAATGTTTGTCAGAAAAATCACAATTACATATTTTTCCCAAATTATTTGATCTTTCTTTCTAATAAGAAAAGTGAAACATGAGTGTCACAATAGTAACTTGCTGGCATATTAACTTGAAATGTAAGATGTGAATGAACAAGATTGGAATATTGACAAGAAATTGTGAAATGTAAGCATGTCTATTCATACTTTGTAAAAGAGAACATAAATAAGGCATGTGTTTAAACCACAGTGGCATACATGGTCCATATTAAATCCTGCTCCAGTGTGAAAGCAGCACCTGGTTTTGACTCTGGGCACTTAAACAAGTCAAACAGAGAGTGAGTTTCCACTGCACTGTAAAACACCTCCAACTATAATAGCCTCATTTTCTCTCTATCACACTCGCACTGCAGAGGTATGTGAGTGGGGTTATGAAGCTAAAATCAAACCTGATGTGAAAGTTCTGGATGTTGACGTTTTTGTACGGAGCTGTCTTCCTCTGGCACCACAACAGAAGACCCTCTTTGGCCGATGTCTCTGAAAATAAAACATTGCAGTATAAGAATCAGGATACATGCATTATTTATTACTGATTTAAGTTTAGATTCAAGTGTGTCTTATATAGATTCGTTCCTTTAAACATTTTCATCTCATAGTCTCAGCTTCCTGCTATATGAAACATTTTGTGGACTTTTTTCCATTCAAAGGATACGTTTTAAATGATTAATCATGATAGCAATAGTTTCATTTTTCATCATTCTCAACCCATACCCAAACTATGTAATCCTTTATTGAAGTTTTTTGGAGTAATGGGGATTGATGCAATATCCTGTTACATAGGCCTGTCACGATGATTACTATATCAACTTATCGTTCAATATATGAAAACTGGAAGAATATAATACCGTGTCTCTTTGCACTAATGAAAAATTTTTGATTCGTTTTTGATTATATTATAAGATTTGAGCTGTAGAAGGTTGAATTCATAACTTACCAATAACAAACCAAGTACTAATTGTGTTTCATTCTACTATTTATCTATTGCTGCTCATGGTTTCAAACAATATTGTACATTTGTGGTTTGAATCTGCTCTTTGGTTTTTGTGTCTGTGGCATAAATTAGTTTCCGTATTATCGTTTATCATTTATATTTACTTCAGCCGTCAAAATGTGTTATTGTGACAGGCCTGCTTTGACATTATAAAAAGATTCATTGCTTTGGCACAGCAAATGTAAAAATCGTTGATGAAATTGCTACTATTAAAATGGCATCAATTGTCATTTTGTTAATTACTGTATATTTTTCAGAGGATAATTAAGGAAAAGTGCAAGCTGATTGAAGTTATAGTTCATGGTTGCCCTTTTCTTGCATATCCGTTCTTGAATACTCCAAGCACTATAAGTCATATTTTTTAGTTTAACGCTGTGTTCAGATGACTTCATATGCAAAACCAGCCAAGTATTTAACAATTGTGTGACCCAAAATTAAATACAAAAAGAGCCAGCATCTGTGAACCTGGAAAGCAACCCATCTGAGGGATTAACTGCTCCTTTGAAGCTCTTTGATCTACTCTCACTTAATCCTAGTTTAGCGTCAGATTAGCAACAAGGTAAAGAGAGTGAGCAGTATGTTTATCAGATGTGCGTTTTCTTTGCTGAGTTGGACAAATGCTACACTAAAGCTAACTAAAATGAATTTCTAAGCAGTAGCCTAACTAAGCCTGGTTTTATTCACTTTAATAGCTCCTGACACTTCAATTGGATTACACTTTAAGTACATTAAATACATTCACCAAGACTATGAGCGTAACTTATATATTTACATTTGTATAGACGAAGCTACATTCTTATTCAAATCAATGGCAATGATCCCTGATGTATACACTGTGTAGCTGGCGAGCGTGCAGTGGTGAGGTAAATAGGTCAAAGAGGGGTTTTTCAATTGCAAATGTTGCTTTTTTAGAGAAAAAGAAGGAAGTGTGTGCTGAGGAGAAGGAGAGAGGACCTTCCACAGAGATGTCTTGGATGGCAAAGCGAAGGATGATGGTCCAGATCATTCCCAGGGTCATTTTAGCATTCCCATCTACAATCTCTGCAGGAAGAGAAAAACATATGTAAGATTTATTATGTACTGGTACCAAGGAATTAAAATCACGTATTGTATGGTTAATGTGCAAGTATAACGTGCAAAAAATGGCTAATTGGCAAATATTATTAATAGTCCAAAGTGTTGACGCTGATTAAAAGATTTGGTATTGATAATAGGGCACAAACTCAACACAGAAACTCAATGCCTATTTGAATTTAAAGGTGCTCTATGTAATTTTTGTATTGGGGGATCCGTTAGCATCTTGTCTCTGGGATATATTATTGCTTTGCTTTGAAATATTCCACCGTACAGAGTTAAATTTGTCTATCTTGCTTATACAGAAATACATGTATTTTATTGCTAAAAATATGTTGAGAATTATGCATTCTTACAGTAAAGGCTTAACAGTGGAACATTTCAGGCAACACAAATCCACCGTGATGGAGACATGTACGTGGCAGATCCACTACCAAAAAAAATCATCATGCATCATTAAGATAAAATTCAAATGGAATAAAATCCTCAACCCATAACTGCTCATTACTGCTCATAACTGCTGCATCAATATAAACCGTGCAGTTTTAAATCTATGAGAAATCCCCAAGGAAACACCACCAACCATTCTACTTTAGAGCTATAACACACAGGAGATATCATAATACTATTTTAATTTACACATAAACTTCATAATGACAGTTACTACATGTCTTAAGAACATTTCTGAGCCCCCATTTTTAAGTGGAGTATGAGTGTTGCCATGTGTGTGAATTATACTGGTAATATTAGAGCATAACAAATTAGAAATAATGAGAAAGATGACATAGACTTTTACATGGCTAATTTATATTCATCATTCAGCCAATACAAACTACGGACATGAAGCAGGACAAGCCACAGGAAAGAGAAGTACACCAATATGGGACCACACTGACCAATTTGAAGTATTGTCAGCAGTTTTATTCAGGAAATGTTTAAGGCGATTCATCAGAGTCAATACAATGTGCAAGTAATAGAGTTTTTGATTCTTTTCATATGACAGTGTTTTTCTACAGTCAAAAAATGTGTGTGATCAGTTGTAGAAAATAAAACAAGTAAAACAGTTAATTCATAGTAATATATTTTAAAAGTGCACTGTGCAAGTTATTGCTTGACCTGGAATGTTCAATGGTATGATATTAAACATATACATCAAACATTTATTCATGAAGTGTGTGTTTATTGCTGTGTGAGTGAAGATGGAGACTCTTCACAGATATGACTTGTAATGTAGCGTAGTGTTGTAACTGCTTGTCTCCCTTGTGATAGATAGGTTTAATCTATACTGTGAAACATTCTAGACAAAGTAATAACATTTCATGGAGATAAGCAGGTGGCGGACCCTCCACTAAAAACATTATGGATGCAAGATTAGGTGCAAGTTGGGTTAAATTACTGATGTTGTTTTTACTCTGCATTTGCTTCCTGGTCAGTTTAAACCACATTTCCTCCTCTCTGCGTTCACTCCTCATTTGGGCTCCAAACCAAAGTCAACTATGCACTTTCCACATTTATTGAACTGAATTCCTCACATCCAGCTTTAGCCGGGTTCATAAGGTCTTTCTGAGAAACCAGGGCAAATACTTGGCAAAAGTAAGACGCTTTTAGATGCCATAGACTATTATATTTACATTGTTAACATTATCCAAGAGGGATTAGACATTAGACAATGGCCAAGAATGATTTGGGGAAAAATATCAAATTGAAATCTTTCTGACATTGTGACTGTGATTAGATCTGTGACTTATGTTTTAATATTAGGATTCTTTTAAAGGTTCAGAAGAATTGACAAAAAGACAGACAAATACTATACTATAATATACTATAATATTTTGATGAACTGGGGTATAGTACTTCAAAAACCGCAGTCTTCCATTCAGATTGCATTTTCAATTGCAATTAATCTTGCAGCCCTAAATAGTAAACTTCTTTTTTTTCTTCAAAATTAACGTTGAAATAAGGGTACAACTTTATAATTACTACAACTGACCTTAATGATTAACCTTAATAATAGATGAACAAATAGTTTATTAGGAATGATTCAGGCTTGGTTAGAGGCTAGGGTTTTATTAATTTAGTAGGTTTATAAAGCTTAAGTGTGGTTATTAAAAACTGTTGTTTGTGATAGTATTTTACTGTATTTATATTGCTAAATTTGTACTTTTTACTTAACTTGTATATGTACATTTATATAATTATGCCTTATGTGATAACACTTCCCATTTTTACTACCTATTTTTCAGAATTTATTATTACAGTTTATATGCTTTTCTCTTTGTTGTTATATTAAATTGTGATGTGTGAGCTACTGTCCAAATAATTTCCCCTGTGGATAGTAGATAATAAAGTTAGTCTAAGTCCAAGTTTTACTCCTAAAGGCACTTCTGTCTTTTTATGCTGTTTGTTGAAATCTTAAAAATGCATTATAATAAAAACATATATTCACATTTTCAGTTCCACCTCTCGCCTGTGTCAGCAGATGTTACAGTTGCCCTTTCCTAATTCAATCGGAGGCTTCTTTCACGGTGCGTTTAAGTACATCTCGTTGACATATATCAGATTAGCAGGTTGTTATGTCCGTCACACTGGAGTCCCTGAAGGTGTCATGGCCTGTGTCTTATTGGATTATAGTGAGAGGAGGTAGAGCATTATTGACGGGTGAGAAACACACACTGGTCTGAGGAGTTCATTCACACAGAGGAGATGGACAGTTAAGACACAAACACTGACTCATCACCTCATTCAGAGCTATGGGTGCTACTTTTATAAATAAAGTTTTGGGAATTTCTACTGCTATGCGATAAGACTGTAGCTCTATGGGCTAATTGTGACTGATCAAAAATAATTGTTGACCATTTTAAAACACATCATATGGACTAAATAGACTACAGACAAAAACACATGCCATATGATATTTAATAATGAAGGTTTAAAGTAGGGCTGCACGATTTGGGGAAAATATCTAATTGCAATTTCTTTTGACAAGCATTGAGATTTTGATTAGATTTGCAATTTATGTTTTAATAATAAAATAATTCACATTCACATTTTAAACATCCAAGAATTTACAAAAAGACTGAAAATTATCACAAGAACCACATTTGAGAACATGTTCTGCCATCCATTCAAATTGCAATTTCAATTTCATTGCAATTAATCTTGCAGCCCTAGTTTATTGCATATTTTCATAACTTCTCAGCCTATAAGCCTTCACTTCCCAGATTTCAAGCTTTATTTAGTAAAAACATATTTTGCAAAAGTATCAATGTACTATTATTTGATAGTTGACTACTAAAATAGTTATTGGATGGTTGCAGTTCTATGTGGCCCACATCAAAAACATGGATGCTTGTTTGACTATTGTATTCAATGGGACTCAATTTTGAATGCCTAATGTTGAAAAAAATCATTTTTCTCTCAATCCACTGCTTCCATTTATTTTAAAAGTTGAAAATTGAAAACATGACATAAAGTCTGCATTTAATTTAATTTACAGTGTGACCCAATGATCAGGTAATTGCCTTAGTTATCAAAATGTACATGTGTATTTACTAATTACTGTGGCTTACTCTAATTTCATGATCAACCACAATAACATAATAACAATCCATAGAAAATGCACTGGGGTCTGCATCTTCAACACATCTTTCAAACTCAAACCCAAATACCACGCGAGTGTATACCTCCTCTGCTGTGTTGGGACTGTCCCTGGTGGAGAGGGGTGGGCCCGTCTGAAGGGGGCTGAACAGGGATAATCTGTCTGGTATGTGTGTGTAGGGTTGAACCAGGCTCCGCGCAGCGGTTAAACATGTCAAGACCAAAACCAGACGACGGCAAAAGCAACCACAGGATCTCATTGTTTATCTCCCTCTGCTGTCTTGTGATGCTTCATGATGACAACTGTATTACATTAGCTGTTTTGCCTTATTAGTGTGGTAAACTAAACTGACCCAATGCCAAGAAAAAAATTATGTCATTCACCTATCACTTGGTTTGGTTACTACAAACATTGCATCTTGTTTCTGCCAAATATTTGTTTCTTTTTAGATATAAAAATCCTATAATACTCAAAATCGTCTGTTGTGAGCTTTGAGTCAGTTTGGTATCTGGTCAAAAACATACCTGGAGTTGTGTCTTGTTTCATTCAGATATATTTGAGTAACTTTTTATTATTAGTACTTTTTATTATTAGTCTGTCTTTATCCCAAAGGCCAAAATGTTCTGTTCCACCTTGTGATGTCATCAAGTATAGTATAGTTAAAGTTACAAGCTAACTTTTAGTTTTTGTTCCATAGATATTGGCATTTCCAGGGTTGAAATGATCCCAATGATTCTGGTGAAGGTGTGTGGAGTTTAAAAACAAAGTGGAGTTTTACCATATGACATCACAAGGTGGAACAGAGTGCTTTCTGTTTGAGAGAAGAACTCCTAAAATGCAGGATTTACATGTTAAAGGTGTGAATGAAACAAAACACAACTCTGGGTATGTTGATGAGGAAACAGCATTATAACATTGATCAGATAGAAAATATGGGTTCTTTAAACTTACTAAAAGAACTGCTACTGAATTAGAGGAATAACATTGAAAATTTGTTCCCAAAAAACAACAAGCCCAGCCAAACTTGAAAAACTGCAAAGTCTCAAAGTTGTTTATCACTATTTGTGGATAAGAGTGTATTCTGTGAAGGTTATGTACACAGTTCGCATTAATCTCTAGGCAGGCTGACACGTTTTACTGTACACAATGTTAAGTAATGATACAATCTGTGAATTTGTTATGAGAACATTTAAGGACTCTACAGCAGGTCAGACAATGGTGTCATATCAACAATATCTGTCTGTGTTTGGACTACTAATAATGTATAAGGCAATAGATATCTGAACATTAGTCTATACATACTAATCATAGACTGTATAAAGAAGTAGACAAAACATGTGATGTCACCCATAGCATTCGGCTCCAGTCAAATGAAGCTCATGGGTAATAGGAGCGAATTTGGAACCAGCTCCATTTTAGGAATATGCATTTATTTATGTAAAAAATAGCAAAATAAAAGCACCAGGATAATGTAGAGTGGGTTAAAAACGAATATTTTAAGACCAAAATGACGAGGCTCATTGTAGAAGTTACAGAGAGAGGGGTGACAATTTTCCAATGTAGTCAAATGGAGCCAGACTCAGTGGAGCCAGAAGTGCCCCCATGCTCAGTTCCTATTTTGGGCACGGCAGGTAGCGGGTTAGCTAGGTCCATTTATACAGTATATACAGTCTATTATGATACTAATAGGGCCATTTATCCAACAGAGATCCTTATTGAGACATTTGCTGAGCAAAGTGGAGCAGAGGATGGTAATATGAGCAGTTTTGACCACAGGAGGTAAAAGGTTAAGCCCGTTAAATAATACAGGTCAAAGTTCAAAACCACAGGCCATGTGTGTTTAACCTGGATCTCACTAATTTCTGACTAATAAGAGCTCGGGTTGACTGTGGCAAAAATGATTAGCAAAAAAAAAATCTCTCTGTTATTAATGAGTTATGTATCAGACAGATATGTTTTACAGTGACACCACAGCATTCTAATCCCATAATATTGAACTAAAATGGGGGGAAGGGCAGTACCAAAAATGTTTTCTACAATCTAAATAGTATCGTGCAAAAAAATATATGAAAATATGTTGGTGTAGTATTGTGAAATTGTGAACGTAAACATTAAAACTAAAAGAGTGCTTTTATTACATAATAAAACCTGAAAACCCATGGATGCTTATGCTATAGTAAAACAGCAAGAGATTTAGTCTAGTTGTCACGTGGATCTACAAATTATGGAATAAATAAAGACAAATGAAGACCGTAATAACTTGTTCATCTTTAAACTATCAGATCACAGTTTGAACTCCCTATAACCCAAACTCTCCAGGGGAATGTGTCATCCCAAATATTTAACAATGTTTCTATAAGTGAAAGTGCACTGACTCCACGAAGTCTTAAAGGAAGTCAGGCGGATATCCCCTGAACAAAGCTCCATGGGTACAGCCGGTCATGTGATCAGCAGACCAGGAAGTGCACACTCAGGCAAAGAGCACAGAGGAGAGCCATGTGGAAAAAGGCTCATTAAATACACAGCAGCGCCATGGTAACGGACAGGGGCAGATAAACAAGGCAACTGATAGATAAGGAGAACAAAGAGGGACACATGTTTTAGACTCTGGTGATGTGAGAGATTTGTTTCATAATAATTTCTCGTGTTGTAAAGGTATACTCTGTGTGGACATGTTTTTGCTTTGCTTAGAATGTTCCATAGTACAGCATTTACTGATCTATCTCCATGGAGACAAGCAGGTGACACGACTAGGCCAAGTTACAGGTCATCTGTAGAGCGGCAAGCCCACTCACAGTAAGAATGCATATTTTTAAAAGTAATTGTGAAAAAAATCTGCCATAACTGCACCAAACTTTGTCATCTGGAGGCAAAGTGGTAAAATGTAATTACATGGATTATAATTAGCTGATTAGGGAAATTGCTAAGATCCAGAATTGATTCTATAAACATTCACATTCACAAATCGCATTTAAATGACACAATACTGTCTGCAAGCAATAATGTTTGTATAATAACAATCGAATTTTGTGCAGCTATGTAATTAAATCTTCCATTAAAGTTTATCAAATCAAATTAGTTTCTATTCCAAGTCTAGATGTAATTCTTGGTGAATAAAAATAAAGTATCTTGGAAGCATATTTTTGCCTCTCCACAGCGCTAGTTACTAAAATAAACAGCCTGCACTTAAAACGTCATAACGTAATAATAATATCAGTATGATCTCTAGACACAACACAACATACCTTCTGCTCCAATAGACACCAATTTGACTCCTTTACTGGCGATGAAGTCCAGGGCTTTGTTTACGTTTGAAATCTTGTGAACTCTCATCTTTCCTCGTTCTGGTTTGGCCAAACGCTCGCCTAAAAGAGCAAAAGATAGTAGAGGGATAAATATAATTAAAATAAAAGTTTTTTTAAAAAATTTATAAAATACAACAAGTCAAAATACTTGACTGAACACGAGGAATCTTATTAGTTATAATGTGACACTTAAACTGTATTTAAACTGTAAGCAGGTACTTTTAAAGGTCCTACATTACACAAAGTTTATTCTTGTTACTCCTCAAAAATACACATGTCGGAGTAATCCTTTATTATTAGTCTGTCAAAATCTCCAACGCCCAAAATTCTCTGTTCCACCTTGTGATGTTATGTAGTTAACAGTTTTCATTTACTTTTAGTTCAGTAGAGACCAGCAATTCCAGGGATGAAATATCCAAATGATTCTAGTGAACGGAGTATGGAGTTTAAAAACACAGTGAAGCACTTCCTGCATCACCACACGACTTCGCAAGGTGATACAGAGCGTTTCTTGTCTGAGAGGAGCATGCAGCCCAAATATGCAGGAACTGTGTGTTAAATATGTGTGAATGAAACAAAACACAACAGCAGGTATGTTTTTGATGAGGAAACAACATTATAACATAGATTAGGGGCCCTTTAACCTGCACTTACAGCAGAAGCAGTTCCCACTTCAAGGCAATATAAAGATAATAATTTTAACAGGAATTGTGATCAAATTGAAATTGTGATGTGGCTCTAAGTAAATTGTGCAAAACATTTTTTAGTATATCGCCCACTCCTACCATAAAAACATTTTTTTTTTGTCAGAATGATGTGTACAAAATGTTTTACTCCTGACCTGAGATGACCTCCAGCAGCAGCATGAGTTTGAGTCCATCCCGGAAGTCCTCCTCGATGTTCTCAATCTGTGTCCCAGTTTTCCTCAAGTGAGAGTTACACCACGCTGTGAATGTCTACGAGAGAAGAGAAGAGAACATAAAATTTGTGAAAAGAGGTTCAGTTAGTGCAAGTTATTACAATTATGTGTACAGTCTGTTTAAGAGCCCATATTGCACTATTTTCAGACCTATGTTATAATGTTATAACTCACAAAAGTTAGGCTGAGTTCTTTTCTCAAACAGAAAACACTCTGTTCCACCTTGTGATGTCATGTGGTAATATAGGAAGTGCTCCACTGTGTTTTTAAACTCCATAAGGCTTCACTAGAATAATTTGGATAAATTCAGCCTTGGAAATACCAGTCTCTACTATACAAAAGGTAAAAGGTAGCTATTAACTTGAAAACTACATGACATGACATGACATGACCATATGACATAACAAGATGGAACAGAGCATTTTGAGCTTTGGAGATTTAGACAGACTAATAATAAAGGATTACTCCAACATGTGTAAATGAAATAAAAAACAACCCCAGGTATATTTTTGTTCAGGTTACATCATTATAAAATAGCTTAAAGCTCACAAGAGTCAATTTTGTGTAATAGAAGACCTTTAAGTACAAAAACCAAACACACACATTAATCCCTGATCAAGCAATGCAGGTCCAAGCTTCAAATGAATCATAATAACAGCCTTGAGGAAACAGTACAATGCCAGTAAAGCAAGCCAAAAGATTTGCAACTTACTATTTTAAATTTATCTGCACCGGGCTGTTTGTTTTTCATCCATATGGAGAGCTTACTAGTCCTGAGAATCATAGATTCATTACGATACATGATACGTGGCTCAGAATACGACATTATCATGATATGTTGATAATCGATATATAAATCGCACATAATACTCTGTGGTATATGGCTGACTTTTAAGAACCTAATTTTTGTTAAACCACTACTTGTGCAAGGTTAATATGAAATACGAAGTTTCCTTCCACTAAATAAGCAACAAAATTGTAGTACTGTCACAAAATAAAATGCTAAAAGATACAAAAACATACTTCTACAGCAGAAGCAGCATATTGATATTTCAATATTTTAGTAGTGCTTAGCCTTCTTTGGTCAGTCTAATATTAGTTACTAATAAATATTAGCAACACAACTAAGTCCTGTGTTTTTTTTTAAGATGAAATCAAATGGGAAAAACACATTAATTTATTTCTGTGAACCAACAACGTGTTTCAATTGGAACAATATCTAATGTGGATTCCTCTGGTCTTGTATTTACATAACTGGATTTGCAGTTTGATTGATACTCTTGCCAGAGTCAAATCCGATGGCCAATGTTTCCCAGTGTGTCCAGCCAATTCAGGAAGACAACAAAAATACACACATCACAAAAACATTCTCTGGTGTAATTCAGTATATTTGGTTCTTTACACTAAAATACAATCTATGTGTCATATTTAGGAGAATTATTGATGTTAAAGGTTCTATATTACACAAAATTGACTCTTGTGAGCGTTAAGTCATGTTATAATGTTTTTCCCTCATCAAAAACAAACCCAGAATTGTGTTTTGTCTCATTCACACATGTTTGAGTAACCCTGCATTATTAGTGTGTCTACATCTGCAAAGCTCAAAATGCTCTGTTCTACCCTGTGATGACATGTAGTGGAGGTTTTCAAGTTAACAGCAACCCTCTACCTTAAATTCAATAGAAAGAAATGCTTCATGCTCCATTACCATTTACCATATGTTTTTGATGAGGAAACAACATTATAACATAGATCATAAAAAAGTGTAATATGGGCCCTTTAAAAACTGTTTGCCACTGGATTGTTCCAGACGTAATGCAGTTTCAGCTAGGCTACACTGTGTGGTTAACTACAGCCATTTTCAATACTGCATACAAGCAGCTTCCTCAACAACTCTTGAAACAACAATTTTACTGTCAAACTGGTTTTCTTCTTTATAGTCCTATTGTTTTATTAGCCAAATCTGCTCTCTTGATGCTAACCAGCTAGCCCACCCTTTCCACAGGCCTAACAGTGGATCTTTGTGCACTGAGTACAGTAGGTGTCGTGGGCCCTGGATTGCCTGGTATTGCTGGCACGTTAACAGGCTAATGGAAAACATGTGTCACTGCCAGATCTGAGACGCCCAACAGGAGCTGGCACTAACTGTCCATCCTCCATAGAGTCCATTATGAACACCTTTTTACCTTTGACCTTTTTACGAGATCCTGGTCTCACTACATCCATGGACTGAGAAGAGGTAGAGGTAGTTTGAAAGAAAGCCATACTTGTTAGAAAGAAGTAGTAGAAAATAAACTTTAAGGGACAGTTTGGAATTTTGGACAAAGGACCTCATTTCCTAGTGAGCCAGAGTGTTGGAGACGTGAGGAGACACTTTTTTAAATATTCCATTCCAGTCCTTGTATTTGCAGAGGTTGCTGGTGCTAGGTTGGCGCATGTCAATGGCCATAGTTAGACTGTCACCAAAAACAGTCTTACCCACTCCACAGTGCACCCAAATCAAATCTATTACTACACCAGACTGTCGACTGTGAATGTCTGTGTTGATAGAATATTGTTTTGAAATAAAACTAACCTTGCATTGCATGTTGAGGGACTATTTTCTCATATATCAGTCCACCGCTGCCAAGCTTTCTATCAGGAAGTACAACTCGCTGCTGCTCAGACATAAATCCTTCAAATGCAAGGTTGTTTTTACTTTTAAAATTATTCTATCAACACAGACATTTACATCAACAGTCTGGCGTTATAACTGTTTTGCCTCGGGTGCTTTGTGGAGTGGGTAAGACTGTTTTTAGTGGCAGGCTAACTATGGCCATTGACATGCGTTAGCCTAGCACAAATGACCTCTGCAATTAGAGTGTCTCCAGACGTCTCCAACACTTTGGCTCACTAGGAAATGAGTCCTATGTCCAAAATTCCAGACTGTCCCTTTAAAGGTGCACTATGTAACTTTTTGGTTGAGGGTCTGTCCCTACTTCTATGGATATGTCAGTTCTTTGCCTGTAATGTTCCACCACTCTACTTAACATTTATTAAATTACAGTTGGTTTTATTGCTCAGAAATACCTAGAAAAGCAGGCATTCTGATTGTGAGTGGGTTGCCTCTCCACAGATCTGACCTGTAACTTGGTCTGGTTTGGTTTCCATGAGGATAGAAATGTTAAATACCATACTGTGAAACATTCCAGACAAAGCAATAACATCTCTTTGGACCATGGACGCGTGCCTTCTTAACAAACTTAATCCTATCTGGATAGCCTCTATAAAAGTCTTATAATGGGTGGATGATTTTGCAGAATAAGTTTTGTTATGTGCTGGAAACAACAAAGTACAACTAAGACACAATAGGTCAACAGAAAAAAAACTGTACATTATTATTGGATAAAACGTTATGGAGAAAATATAGTTGATTAATTCAAGTTCTGGTATCTAAGGAATACACAGCACTACCAATTTAAGGTTATACTGGGCTTATTTAAGAATTTCAGCTTCCACATCCAACATTTGAGGGCTTTTTCCTATCCAAATTTTGTTTTAAATTGTTAATCGCTATTGCAACAGTCCTGATTTTCATTGTTTTGAAATCCATGGATATCCTATTAAACCACATGTGTATTTTTTGCAGCCAAACTCATCACATCTTCAGTATATTGTATGAAAAGTGTGTAATTTGCTAATGCTGTCCATGATTGTAGTTTTTTTTTTCACTTTTCCACTACAGAGAAATGAAACCACTTCAAAGTTCACCATTGGCTGTGACTATTTGTAGCTTCTTTATGACGTCAACCTAAACTGCAGTAGCGTGAGGCTAGCGTGACCATTAATAATCCTGTTCCAGTTCCTCAGATGTGTGCAGTAGTTGTGGACTGTGGTGGAGAGATTTGAGGGGAAAATGAGTGATTAAAAGAGTTTTATCTAAACCAGTGAAGATTTATGGGCTCCTTGAAGAGAGGTTGGCAGCACACACCCTCTGCCTTTCAGATACTGTTGAAATGTTGCTCTGATTTAAGTGAATGTATGCACCAATCTGGATCAATAAAACATGAGAGCTTAGCCAAAACACTTTACAGAGTAGAGCGAGTGCACTGACTGTGTTTAAATGTGCACTCAAAATCATTTATTATCAGATCTCTGGAGTCGTCCGATCATTAAAGTTACATGTAAAAGGCAAAATCTGATTTGAGTAATCCGATTTCTTTGTGGTTTCTCATATTACTCATCACATTTGGCAGTTTGCGTGTATTTTTAATAATCTGACAACTCCAGAAATCTGATAAGTGCCAGACTTTGTGTACATGTAAACAAAACCAGTGGTGTGAGCAGTGAGTGTAAAGCGGGTTTAATGAAAATGAGAGCTAAGATCAGGTCTGAAATACTGAACTAAATGTAGAAGTGAAATGGCTGCTGATGTGAAAATAGATATGACAGTACTGTAGCATAAAGGAAGTGGTACTGCTACTAGTACTACTACTACTACTACTACTGCTACTACTACTGCTACTACTACTGCTACTACTACTGCTACTACTACTACTACTACTACTACTTCTGGTTTAATGCTGTAGCAGCCTCTTAGAGAGTTTGACGTGAATACTAGCAAAGACAGTACACAGATCCCTCCCGTGCGTACTCATAATACTTATGTCTTGGTGGTGTGTGTATGAGTGTGGTCTTGACTCTTTAATGTAACTCTGACATTACATACTGTACATACTCTGACTGTATGGTTCTGTTATGGCTCTGTGTGCTCAAGGCTGTGTGTCACATGGGACATGAAGCAGAGCTGAGAGACATATGTTTTCAGTGAATAACATTAACATTTACTTACACCTGCGCAGTGCAACTCGAACTACACCAGACAACTGAAATCACATCTCAACAAAGCCTGGAAAATTTAATTAGGAAAATTTGGGATACACTATCATACCAAAACCATGACTAAAACAAAATCAACAGGCAAAGGAGATGCACAAGTTTAGTATTAAATCAGGACTACATTGGCTACAGTGTAAGGATACAGAAATTTTGGACCAG